TTCTCTCCTTTTTTATATATCAGGGATATCACAGCGTTTCTTTGCGAAAAGGGCAAAATACCATCATCAATACTTTTAAGTAAAGAGGGAAGAAATATTTCCTTTATATCATGCCAAAATCTTTTATAGAATTCTGCCGTTAGGCCATCTTGTCCAGGGGATTTGTTATTTTTCATTCATAGGCGTAGTCACAGGGGGGGCAGCGGGGGCACTAGCCCCCCCACTTTCAGATCTGGGGGGGCAAGAGTATGTCTGTGCCCCCCCACTTTTTAATGAAGAACAAAATCACAGCTATTTTTCCCCAACATTACCTTTACTATAGGAAATATTCATTGAATTGCCCCCCCCCCCCACCTCCACTTTTTGACCCTTGTATAGTTATAGTTATATCGAAGAATTGTGGAAAAAAATGGAAAAAAAAAAATTGGATTTGAAAGTAACTTGCCTTTGAAAAAGTTGGCCATTACCCCCCACACCTCCCCCCCCCCCACGAAATAGGATTTTCGAGTTTGGGGGAATTTCTTTTTTTTTTTTTTTTTTGCTTGTCAAAGAATTTCTGGAGTTGAGCCTCCCTTTTAAGTTTGTGACTACGCCTCTGTCATTTTAAGAACAGCTTCTTCGCATTCTAATTTTGTAGGTAACATGTCGCATAACTCTTTTTCGGCCTTTGTGACCTTTTCACAGTTAACATTCTTAAAATAGTTTTCAACTTCATTATCAGAAATATTTTTACTACTGTATAATGAGCTATAAAAAGTAAACAAGCTTTTCATAATATTATCATTGTCACAAACAACAGTCTCATTTTCATCCTTTATTTTAGTTATTGCATTATTTATTTGCTGCTTTTTTTCAAGACCTAAAAAATAAGAATTACTTTTCTCCCCCTTTTCTATCCACAAAGCTCTAGATCGTACATAAGCTCCATTACATTTCTGGGCATAATAATTATCTCTTTCTTCTTCAAGCTGTCGTTTGTATCTCATATTTATTTCAGTATAATGCTTTAAATCGATTTGTTTTAATTGAGTTTCTATAAATTTGATTCTCTTTTTTTGATTATTAGCTTTATTTTTTGAAAAAGATACGCAGAAGTCTTTTATTGATATTTTCATTCGTTCCCATCTAACTTTTGGATCGTTTAATTGCTTTAATTCTTCTTTTTCGTTATTTATATGTTTTCTTAGTTTTTCACAAAAGTTTTCGTCATCTAATAATGAGTTATTTAGCTTCCAATAACCACTTCCTCGTAAAATTTCAGACGTACTGAGATCAAAACCTAAGCCTAAATGATCGCTCATACGTGTCCCTTCAACACTGGGTGCTCTACGTACAGTAATATCACAAAGTGGGAAAAGCATATTATCATGCATAAAAACATAATCTATTCTACTCTTAGGAATGTCCTCTCCATCACACCACGTTAAACCATTTATTCTTGTTTTTCCACTGGAAAGCCAGCAGTCATTTAGATCAAAATATTTCAAAAAATTTCTTAGATTCTTAACACTTTTATCATTTTGATTTTAGTCTAATTGACAATTAAAATCACCACAGACAACAAGCCCTTCTACATTCATAGCATGTTGACTAACCCAAGATGATAATCTTTTAAAAAAAGCAATTCTAGAGTGTTCAGCGTTAGGTGCATACACATTCACAATTGTAATAATTTTTTCATTATATTTTAAGTTAACTAATAGTCTTCTTCCATCAAGAGACTGGTGATAATTTAATATTTCAACTGAAAGATTTTGCTTAAAAAATAGCGAAACGCCCCTACTATAAACAGAGTCGGAAAAACAATGAAGTTTGTTTCCAAACCATCTAGAATTGTATATAAATTCATGTTCTTTAACAAAATGGGTTTCTTGTAAGATAATTATATCGAAATCTGAATCTTTCAACCACTCAAACAGTGTTACTCTCTTTTTATAGGTATTTAGACCTCTCACATTTAGGGAGAGGAATGATAAAGAGTTTTTAATCATGTGATCGTGTAAATTGTTAATTCACATTATTTTGCAGCAGAGTCGTTTTCATTTTTCTTCTTATTTTTTTTCAAGTCTCGGATAAATGTGTCGAGTTTCTTTTGACTAGCCTCGCTTTGGGAGCCTTTCCTAGGCACGGAGGCGCTCCTGAGTTTTCTAGTATATTTGGCAGCAATTTTTTGTACGATAGCTCCAAGTTTGTTTTCACCTGGCCATTTGGATGGTTCTGTTTGAGTTGTGCCGATGGTATCCAAGCCTGTACCCCAGTAAACATCAACAGTAGATTCGGCGAAGATCGTATTAGCATTGGAGGCTTCGAGTTTTTCCCGCATTGGATTTATTTGTTCGGCTTTTGCTGTCACAATTTCCTCCATTATATCAAGTTTTTGTTCGCCCCACCCCTCCGGGTCTTTTATGGAGTTTCCTATCTTTTTAGCATCGAGTGCTGTGGGAGCGTGTCTTACCTTCTCAGCTGCGTCTAAGTTACCTGCACGTACCTGCGCCCAGTACAGTTGCTTCATCAGGTGAGCTACATTGGTGATCAGGAACCAATGGTCATCAGGTGAACTAGATGGGTGATCAGGAATCAGAGTTCATCAGGTGAGCTAGATGGGAGATCAGGAAGCAAAGTTCATCTTGTGAACTAGATGGGTGATCAGGAACCAATGGTCATCAGCTGAGCTAGATGAGAGATCAGGAACCAATATTCATCAGGTGAATTAGATGGGTGATCAGGAACCAGTGCTCATCTGATGAACTAGATGGGTGATCAGGAATCAAACTTCATCAGATGATTTAGATTGGTGATCAGGAACCAATGTTCATCAGGTGAGCTAGATGGGTGATCAGGAACCAATGTTCATCAGGTGAGCTAGATGGGTGATCAGGAACCAGTGCTCATCTGATGAACTAGATGGGTGATCAGGAATCAAACTTCATCTGATGAACTAGATGGGTGATCAGGAATCAAACTTCATCAGGTGAATTAGATGGGTGATCAGGAATCAATGTTCATCAGGTGAGCTAGATGAGAGATCAGGAACCAATGTTCATCAGATGAGTTAGATGGGTGATCAGGAATCAGAGTTCATCAGGTGAGCTAGATGGGAGATCAGGAAGCAAAGTTCATCTTGTGAACTAGATGGGTGATCAGGAACCAATGGTCATCAGCTGAGCTAGATGAGAGATCAGGAACCAATATTCATCAGGTGAATTAGATGGGTGATCAGGAACCAGTGCTCATCTGATGAACTAGATGGGTGATCAGGAATCAAACTTCATCAGATGATTTAGATTGGTGATCAGGAACCAATGTTCATCAGGTGAGCTAGATGGGTGATCAGGAACCAATGTTCATCAGGTGAGCTAGATGGGTGATCAGGAACCAGTGCTCATCTGATGAACTAGATGGGTGATCAGGAATCAAACTTCATCTGATGAACTAGATGGGTGATCAGGAATCAAACTTCATCAGGTGAATTAGATGGGTGATCAGGAATCAATGTTCATCAGGTGAGCTAGATGAGAGATCAGGAACCAATGTTCATCAGATGAGTTAGATGAGAGATCAGGAACCAATGTTCATCAGGTGAGCTAGATGGGTGTTTAGGAACCAATGTTCATCAGGTGAGCTAGATGAGAGATCAGGAACCAATGTTCACCAGATGAGCTAGATGGGTGATCAGGAACCAATGTTCATCAGGTGAATTAGATGGGTGATCAGGAACCAATGTTCATCAGGTGAATTAGATGGGTGATCAGGAACCAGTGTTTATCAGGTGAGCTAGATGGGTGATCAGGAACCAATGTTCATCAGGTGAGCTAGATGAGAGATCAGGAACCAATGTTCATCAGATGAGTTAGATGAGAGATCAGGAACCAATGTTCATCAGGTGAGCTAGATGAGAGATCAGGAACCAATGTTCATCAGATGAGTTAGATGAGAGATCAGGAACCAATGTTCATCAGGTGAGCTAGATGAGAGATCAGGAACCAATGTTCATCAGGTGAGCTAGATGAGAGATCAGGAACCAATGTTCATCAGATGAGTTAGATGGGTGATCAGGAACCAAAGTTCATCAGGTGAATTAGATGGGTGATCAGGAACCAATGTTCATCAGGTGAGCTAGATGGGAGATCAGGGACCAATGTTCATCAGGTGAGCTAGATGAGTGATCAGGAACCAGTGTTCATCAGGTGAACTAGATGAGTGATCAGGAACCAATGTTCATCATGTGAACTAGATGGGTGATCAGGAACCAATGTTTATCAGGTGAGCTAAGGTGGGTACTCTCTAAGGTGAGCTAAGCGGCTGTTAGAGGGCCTGGGTTCAAATCCTTGTTCGTACTTCAGCATTTTCTCTCTTTATGTTACATTGGATATTGGTACATTACCCAAAATATTTTTCAAATTGATAAATTGATTTGAAGTGTTGAACATAGAACACCAATGTTTATGTATTTGGCTCAATGTGCTAACCGTAATTGTTCATTGTTATGAAATATAAAAAGTAGTGAGCATAACAATTTTATGAAGTAAATACAGGTAGAATATTTAAAATCAAGTGATTTGATGAGAAATTTAAATTGCTTGTAAAATCCATATAACTACTTTTGAAATTTGTGTACACAATATAACATGTGTACTTTCTTTGTCCCTTTAAAATTTTCTTCAACTACATGATTGATTTGTTGTAACATCAAGACAAACTTATTGATTTCCTCAACTTAAGGTTGATAATTCTTTAAGTGTGAAATGTATTTGAGATAGCAATTTGGTGCCATTAAATTTAAACATAAATAGATATGAATGATTCCACATTCCTTTCTGGGCAATAAAACACCTGAAGTGCATGTAATCAATAATGGTCCTCTCACCTAGATTTCGTGTTCTGCTTGAGGTATGATGGAGCCATTGAGAAATGTTTAAACATTCATGGATGACTGAGGAAGGTGAACTGTATGTAAATGTAACTCTTGTTACCATAGTGAAAACTAAATGATGATACGTACAGGAAAAGATGGCGTTTTGTGGACTTTTCACTTGTTAGATCAATATAAACAAGAACTTGTGGATTGGTGCTGTTTTTTACTGTTCAAACAAAGTTAGAAGGATATGTTTGGATATAATGATGTAGTCTATTTTAACTCTGCATACAGGAGATTATAATGTTGATCAAAGCTTGAAGTTGTATGCATGATGTACCCGTACTCTTCATAAGTGATCTAGGGTATGTAAAAACTGAATACATATATATATATATAATGTTAATAGCATGAACAAAAAATTCTAAAAGGTAAATTATCAAAGTTATATATTTGATCAAATATATAATGACAAAAACAGCTGAATGTAGTGATGTCTTCTGTCTTCATTCCTTCTTGTAATGCGCAGTTACAAAATAAAGTTTCAACAATTTTAAAAATGGTACTATTTGGTTTGTCCAATGAAGTTGTTGTATGACTGTTACACATGTGCAGTTGTCAGCAGGTGTAACCAGGGAGAAAGGAAAACTGATTTGAACCATGGCAGTCTTAATCACCAGTTCTACTAACTGAGCTGTCTGGCTGCCATTGACCAGTACTAGTTATGGAACCTAACTGACTGCAATATAATTCCTCCTTCAAAGTTCTTTGTCCCTGCAAACACCAACTCATAAAACTTTTCATTGGCACTGGTCTTTCACCTGTTGCTTTATATATAGGCTTGATCATGGCAAGTAATGTATAACAGGCAAGGCCATGAAGTGAGAAAATTGTGTCCATACCAGGATTTGAACCTGCACCCTTTGAATAGTCAGGTGCTCTACCAACTGTGCTGTCTGGCAATTCAGTCTGCTAAATTGCCACACAATTAAAAAAAAAAAGATTTTTATAAAATGATCTAAGACTTTACTCTGGCCAGCATTTGGAAAGTGATATTTTATTTATATATTATTTTTGTCTTTATCCAATAAAAAAAAAACCAAACATCTTTTTTACCTCATGTAAGCTTTAATTTAATCCTAATCCACTCATTCAAGTCTATTTTTCAGCCTTGTTGGTGATAAACATGGAGGCCTTTATTTTGAATTGTGACTTCTCCTCTGTCAATGATGACATTGCAAATCAATTCTGGGAGAGGATCAACATATTCGAAACAGAGTTATCATCCCTGGATTGTAACGGGACTCTGAGTATAATTGAAGCATTCCAGAGAAAAGTGTGTGTCGCAGGCTTCCCAGCTCTACGGACTCCAGGGTTTGACCTGGCTGAACGCATTTTAAAGATCTTACTAAATGCATCAAGGTTTGTGATTCTGATTGTAAATACAGTGAAAATGATATTATTATTAGTGCCACTACCATTTCATACTGTAACTTCCTAATTAAACACAAAGAAATTATTATCGCGTAATTCCGCGAGAAGCATCACTCGCGAAATAAAATTTCTTGCTTCTATTTTTATGGTGCTGAAATCCATGTAAATCCTCCTTATCAACCGCCCATATGCAAATTATAATTCTCACAATTTGCTGTTAAAGAGCCATATCCCGATAATAAGTACTCGCAAAAAATAAGGAATCTACAGTAATTTTTTTGTATATCACTTTTTTTTAATTTCAGTGAGAAAGTAAAAGAGAATTTGATTTCGTCGGAGACTTTGGAGGACAAATTCGTGGACTTTTATGTGGCTCTGTTAAAATCAGGACCAGGGAGCGGTCATTGTGAATTTCTCAAAACCGTTACAAAGCACATAGAGTTCAAGGTAAAGAGGAATAGCTTTCACTGTTTATCCAGTCCTCAGTCATGACAATTAGTAGTTGTAGATTTCATGAATTTCAAGTTAAAGGTTGCAAATATTACTTATCCCTCAACAGTACCGGTAATGAAAAAGTGGAATTCATACCTGATTTGTATCCTGAAATAATATTCCTTGGTAAATGCATTTAATACTTGTATTAAATGTTTAAAATTGCTTTGTACAATGTTTGGTAAAAATTGATTTTTCAACATATTAGCATAGGTATGATTAGAACTTTCTGAATTTTTAATATAAAAACCTGTATGTGTACATTTTGTGCTGCTACTTTTCACCAAAGGAATTTATAATAGAAAGCAATTCCAAATTTAAAATGTTTAAATTACTACATACATGAGTTATATGAAATGAGATATATATCTTAGGCTTATGTACAAGGGTAACCCTGGAAATGTACCAGTTCTTGGGAGATGATAAATAAAATGCTGTTTTGAACAGGATTTATACGGAGATAAACTACAGAAAGTCGTTGAAGGATTTAAAGCCATCTCTTCTGTGGATGAGGCAGATGTATCCACCTATAGCAACACAGTACAGCGGTTATACCCAGAACAACTGGATAACATGGTCATCAGGTACTCTGGTTTAGTTTAACTGTACACCAGGGCTTTTCTGAGGGTCAAAATTATTTTGAAAATATTTTAGCAATGAATCATTATTTTTTGAAAGATACATGTATAGTCTCATAACAATAATGGTGTGTGCAAACAACTTGAGTAACACGCGTTATCGCGATATGAAAGCCATATAAGTCCATCCAATCAAAAGTTACTGGCAAGGTTAAAGTTTTTTTTTGTGGCAAGGTTAAAGTTTTTTAGGGGGGACAAACAGACAGGGAAATCTATATACCCTCAAATCTTTGACTACTGGTGCATAAAAATGAATGCAAACAAAAAATCAACAATTTGGTCTACATGGACGTTATTTAATAATGTCTTCTGCAAATACAAACACACAAAATAATTACATGTATATGAATTTTGAAGTACGTACTGTATGAGCAAAAGATTCTTAACAACAGGCTTCAGAGTTTTCTTAAATGAAGTACAAATTGTGTACTTGTATATATCAGATCAACAAAATGTTTTTAAACACATGCTTTTGTGTGAATTTTTCACTTTTAGAATGAAATCCATGGACATACATGTATTGATCTGGATCTGTGTGTTTATATATGTGTGCCCGTGTTTCTATGTCCATAGTGTAAGATAAAATTCAGATCTTTGTATGTTTACTTCAGGAGTGACAAGGAACGTTTGATGTTGCCTGAGGTCCACAAAGCTTGCCTGGACCTGTTCATCTTTTATCTGGTTCAGCTCCCTCAGGTACCGGTCACACTGAGAAAAACATTCAACAGTGCCCAGGACAAAATCTACCAGGCCTACGACAGGCAGCCATTTTCTGTGAGTATCATGTATATTTAGGTTTAATGATAGAGATATGCTCCAACATATATGTCAGTCACAGTGCATGGCCTTGTAATTTATAGTTCAAGAGAAAAATGCTTTAATATAATAATTATACAATCAATTTAATGAACTTATATATGAAGTTTTACTGTATATATGAAGTTTTACTATATATGGGGATAATTTTGTCCTTTCACACTTGCAAACAATTTGAACCAGTCACAGTCCTGAGAGAAGGGTGGTATGGAAAAAAATAAATCAAGGGTAAATATTTCCCTGTTTATAGTATATTTTTCTGCAAGCTGACTTTAAATCTTTCTTCATGCTATGTGTAGGGTTTACAAGATGTGGATTTCTACAGGAAACAGCTCGTGATGCTTCAAAATTTCATCAAGGATCCAGAGTTCCCTCAGAGTCAAGAAATCGCTGAAAAAACAAAATATAAACTGAAAGATGTATTTCAGATTAAGTAAGCATTGCTAATTACTCCACAGGTATAAAATCTATAGTTATGATTTAAGTATTTACAAATCTAGAGGGACTGAGAGCCTGTATTTTCAGGGACTCGGGTATGATAGAGGGGATTTACGGAGACATCGCGGAGTTGCTGAAGGCTCTGAGTCTGAAGACGTTAGCTCCAGAGGAGTCCAGTCTGTTAGAGAGATTAGACGGATTCTATAGGTATCTCCCAGAGGAATGCTTTAAGGTAGGGAATTTTAGAAACATCAAGTACATCAATTGCTCATTTTCAGAAGTATTGAAGGATATTTTTGTATGAAATAAGTGAAGAATGATTGAATGAAATTTGCTCAAAAGCATCTGCAAGTATGCAAGTAATATCACATTTTAATTGTTGTAAGAAGAAGCTTTCCCATGGCAAAATTTATACTGAAATATAAAATTTTTCATAAATAATGTTTTAGAAATAGTAGCTAGATTTGGGAAATAGATTGATTGTTTCCCCTTAGAATCCTAAGTTGTTTGAGGTATGGGTTGTGACAGCAGTGGAGATCCTCAAAGAATCTCCGAGGAATGCGACAACTGGTGACGAGCTGGAAAACGCGGCGGAAAAGTACATACGTCATCTAAAACCAAAGTATGTATTAACACCCCCAAAATAGATAAATACATACGTTATCTAAAACCAAGGTATTGACTTAACACACACTCCCAATAGATAAATGTATGTGTCATCTAAAACCAAGGACCAAGGTATTAACATTTAACATCCCTACCCCCTAAATAGATAAATACAAACGTCATCTAAAACCAAGGTATGTGTTTTTAACACCCACGACCAAATAGAGAAAAAAAACATATTCTATCAAAAACCAATACTACAAATGCAGTAAAACATGTTCAAAGGAAAGCGCCAGGAAAAAACAGTTTGATTCGCTATGAATTAACATAATTTGATTACTAGTATTTATAATCCATAAAGTTAACAACATGGTTTTAAACTTCATGAAAATGTAATTTCATCAATTTTGTGTAAATCTGAGTTAAATGTAACTGTGATCCCTGTATTTAGGGCAGAGCTGGCCAGACTTTGGTTGTCCTTTGTTGTCCGATGTTGTCAGTGGTGTCACAAAAATCTAATGGAGGCTGCTAATCAGATCATTGCCGACAATAAATGGAAAGGCACCTGGAAGTGGAAGGTAAAAAACTTACTTTTCTCTTTTTAGGTGACCTATTGATAGTCCATTGGTGTGTTAACTTTAATGCTATCAGCTTTTATTAGTTTTTATAAGTCAAAATTTATGCAATTTTCAAAAAATCCTCTCTTTATACCCCCCGCAAACGAAGTTTGGGGGGGGTATATGGGAATCACCTTGTCCGTCTGTCTGTGCAAACGTGTCCGGTCCATATCTTTCTTACGGAGGGACATTAGAATCTACTACTCCACACAAAGATTGCCCATGACCTAAGGGTTGTCATGACCTTGACCCAAGGTCATTTGGGGAAGTTCAATGTCACTGGAAGAAAAAGTTCATAATTCGTGTCCAGTCCATATCTTTCTTATGGATAAACTTGGTAGGTTCTCATTTCATACAAAGATTGCCCATGACCCAAGGGTGTGTCATGACCTTGACCCAAGGTCATTTGGGGAAGTTCAAGGTCACTGGAAGAAAAATTTAATTATTCGTTTCCGGTCTACATCTTTTTTATGGATAAACTTGGTAGGTTCTTATTTCATGCAAAGATTGCCCATGACCCAAGGGTGTGTCATGACCTTGACCCAAGGTCATTTGGGGAAATTCAAGGTCACTGGAAGAAAAAGTTCATAATTTGTGTCCAGTCCATATCTTTCTTATGGATAAACTTGGTAGGTTCTCATTTCACGCAAAGATTGCCCATAACCTAAGGGTGTGACATGACCTTGATCCAAGGTCATTTGGGGAAGTTCAAGGTCACTGGAAGAAAAAGTTCATAATTTGTGTCCAGTCCATATCTTTCTTATGGATAAATTTGGTAGGTTCTCATTTCACACAAAGATTGCCCTTGACCTTAGGGTGTGTCATGACCTTGACCCAAGATCATTTGGAGAAGTTCAAGGTCACTGGAAGTAAAATTCATAATTTGTGTCTGGTCCATATCTTTCTTATGGATAAACTTGTTAGGTTCTCATTTCACACAAAGATTGCCCATGACCCAAGGGTGTGTCAAAACCTTTACCCAAGGTCATTTGGGGAACTTCAAGGTCACTGGAAGAAAAATTTCATAATTCATGTGTGATACATATCTTTATTGTGGAAAAACTTACCTCTGAAAAACCCAGCGGGGGGTATTTTGTCCCATTTCGACAGTTCTAGTTTAATTTACCCTTGGACATCAAGCTGCAGCAGTTGAATTGTCGGTTATAGCAAGAAATAAGCTCTGTACCAACATTTGTAAAATCAATGGTCCCAGAGTTATAGAGTTAGGATGGGTTCTTTGATTATGCAGGGAAAATGGATAAAATTTTCTCCTGTATATATACTAGTAGCAGAAAGATATAGTCGTGATGACCAGGGATGATGCCTCTCCCAAAATTTTGAATTTCATGCTCCCAGGATCAGGATTGAATTCCATTGTCAATTTGATTTTAAAGCGAAAACATAATTCTTTTAAAAATATGTACCCCTGGGTATGAAGCAAACAGACTAAGTGCACAGCCGTAATGAACAAGGGTGTCTTTTCAAAACTTTGTGAAATTCATGACATTCCTCTGTCAGTGGTTCTAGTTCTTTAGCAATGAATTTTTTTTAGTTCATACCTGGCTTTAGATACTTTATAAACTGCCCTTTCTACTCTTATACACCACTCTGGACTCTTTGTTTACTGCTCTGGATTCTTTATACTATATTTCATGCAATAAACTTTACTTACTGCAGGAAAATGTTACCTTAGCTAAGGAGATGATAGTAGCTCTGACGACCGTGGATTATTCCGTGTGTGAAAATGTGGAGGATTACTCATCCAAGGCTGAATCATTTGTGGAGAACCTCATGAAACAACTTGAGTAGGGGGACACATACACTGTTATTTTGAAGATATAAATGATAACATCAAAACAAGTACAATCTACAAATTAATTGTTCTTATTTTTGCATGCTATGAGTTTATTAAAAAAAACAAAATGTCAAATGAAGGAAATTTACATAAAAATGGCATCAAAGTCATTTATAGCTTTTTTTTTTAGTTCATTCCACTTTGTTCCTAAAACTGAAATAGCTTACAGAAAGAGATTACAAAACTTGCGTAACAAATTAACATTATACATCATATAGTGACATGTACCTATCATTTTGACTTTAATTTTCTCTGTAGATTACTTAAAGTGGCCAAACAAGTGGAGGTGGAGTTAGCGGAGCTTGTCATGGTAACTATGGAAGCTGTCGGCAAGGAGATAATGGTGGACTCACTGTGTAAATCAGCAAGTGAATTTGTGTCCTTACAGGTTTGTACACAATTTTAAGAGGTTTTTATTATACATGTATATAATTATCTGAAGGAACATTACAACCATAGGTATATGCCTTGAATATGTTTGCAAAAAGTAATAGACAGGTGTCACATTCATTAACCAAAATGTTTTGGGACTTGGGAAAAAGATAAAGAATTTCAGCCTTACGTTTTTTTTCTACAGAACAACAAGCACCTGATAGCTGGCTACTTGGACCGGTTCCTGTGTCTGTTGAAGACTGAGGATTATGACTGGGACACGGGGTGGATGTGTACTGCAGCGATTGAATTCTTCAACAACCTCGTCAAGTCATCAAGGTAAATGTTAACAACTGATACAACCTGGTCAAGTCATTCAGTTAAATATTAACAGCTGATACAACCTGGTCAAGTCATCCAGGTAAATGTTAACAGCTAATACAATCTGGTCAAGTCATCCAGGTAAATGTTTACAGCTGATAAAATCTGGTCAAGTCATCCAGGTAAATGTTAACAGCTGATACAACCTGGTCAAGTCATTCAGTTAAATATTAACAGCTGATACAATCTGGTCAAGTCATCCAGGTAAATGTTTACAGCTGATACAACCTGGTCAAGTCAGCCAGGTAAATGTTTACAGCTGATACAATGTTTACAGCTGATACAACCTGGTCAAGTCATCCAGGTAAATGTTTACATCTGATACAATCTGGTCAAGTCATCCAGGTAAATATTAACAGCTGATACAACCTTGTCAAGTCAGCCAGGTAAATATTAACAGCTGATACAACCTGGTCAAGTCATCCAGGTAAATGTTTACAGCTGATACAACCTGGTCAAGTCATCCAGGTAAATGTTTACAGCTGATACAATCTGGTCAAGTCATTCAGTTAAATATTAACAGCTGATAAAATCTGGTCAAGTCATCCAGGTAAATGTTTACAGCTGAAACAATCAGGTCAAGTCATTCAGTTAAATATTAACAGCTGATAAAATCTGGTCAAGTCATCCAGGTAAATGTTTACAGCTGAAACAATCAGGTCAAGTCATTCAGTTAAATATTAACAGCTGATAAAATCTGGTCAAGTCATCCAGGTAAATGTTAACAGCTGATACAACCTGGTCAAGTCATCCAGGTAAATGTTAACAGCTGATACAACCTGGTCAAGTCATCTAGGTAATTGTTTACACCTGATAAAATCTGGTCAAGTCATCCAGGTAAATGTTTACAGCTGAAACAATCTGGTCAAGTCATCCAGGTAAATGTTTACAGCTGATACAACCTTGTCAAGTCAGCCAGGTAAATGTTAACAGCTGATACAACCTGGATACAACCTTGTCAAGTCATCTAGGTAAATGTTAACAGCTGATACAACCTTGTCAAGTCATCTAGGTAAATGTTTACAGCTGATACAATCTGTTCAAGTCATTCAGGTAAATATTAACAGCTGATACAATCTGGTCAAGTCATCCAGGTAAATATTTACAGCTGATACAACCTTGTCAAGTCTTCCACGTAAATGTTTACAGCTTATGTCTGTCTGTTTCTCAAAAATGTTAATTGAAAATTGATGTGATCAATCTAGGTATTTGTAGTTGACAGGTTTTTTCTTCAATTATATGAAGCAAAATTTTTATTATGTACATTTCACTTTAACTCTATCTTTTTCCAGTCAACACCAAGAGTATAGACATTCATTACCATAATTCTGATTTTTCTATTGTTTTCATGCCAACTATGAAAAAAAGATTTTTTTTTTATCAGATCAAAATTTTTTAGAGTAAATCAAGTTTGAGTTCTCTGAAGTAGAAATCTTCTGTTTTAGTGGAGATGAAGTGCGGGATCTGGAGATGGATGATGCTATCCTACGCGTCTTCCTCTTCTGTCTGTCGGAGGAGCGGGAGTACATAAGTCTACAGAGGCAGCACCTCAATATCTATGGCCTGATAGCAGTAGCTGGATTACCGCAGTACATCAACCTGGTGAGAGGCTTAACAATCAGAATCATAAATATTATTTTGGCAAACTCAAAATTTTAATTTTCATTGTCCTCTGAAAAGATGTGTTTCACCTTATTATTATATGTATATGTTTTCATGTACAATCAATCAAAATACAGTATTTTAAAAATGTAAACTTTTTATGTAAATAGCTTTGAATAATTAGTCACCCTTTTAATGGATCATTTATAGAAACCTGTTTGTATCATTAAAATAGCAAACATTAGTATGGTCTACTCCACTGGAAATGCAATTGATAAAATTTCTACTTTCTAAATGAATTGTACCCGGTAATTTTTAAGAATGAGTTATTGTATCTTACAATCAGACATTGTAGTTTGTGTTTTAAAAAATAATTCCCATTAGATAACACTATAAGGTATATTGTACAGCACAGAGAGAAGAAGACATTGGGTCGACTGAAGCCATTATTTCCTCATGTACAGCGGCTGATGAACAATGAGGAGGAGCTAATTAGCTCTAATATGAGGAGCATCATGCAGCTGTTTGGGCCAGAGACGTCCCAGTTAATGGACACGGCGGGCATGGAGGGGCTGATCCAGCTCTATCTCAGGGAGAAGGATTTCAGCACACTAAGTAGGTGTGATCTGAACTTGTGACTAGGGCCAAAATTCATTCTGCAGATATCTTTCTAATTAACAGTAAAATAAAAATGGTTTTAATTTTTGTAAAGGGAATACAACAACAAAATATTTTCAAGCTAACAGTTTTAAACAGAATCATTAATTTTGTAAAATTTTAAAATCTATTTAAGTTTTTGGTCTTAGTTCCTTGAAGTTCGTTTATAAAACAGGCCTTTGTTAACAAGGAAGAATATTTAAAAGACATCATGGAAGGGTTAGAGGTTATCTGGCGAAATCTTAGTTTTCTAGTTTATAGCTATGCCTTTGAGCAAAAGATGGCTACTGACACAATGCAATGTCTGGTTAACACACAGAAGACGCTAAAATATGAAGCTAATTTTTTTTTAGGTATTTTTAAATAAAGTGACAAATTTTACACATAACTTTCAGATGCTATATCAGCTGGTTATGATGGAAAGTCAGAGACGTTTGAAACCTACTTTCTGCCCCTGATTCAGACATTTTCCCAGAAAACACAGACAAACGAACTGGCAATGCAGGCCATGTTGATAAAGAAAGTGTCGGAGAACCAGCCTGAGGTAATCACTCAGTTACTAGGAGGGTCATACAACCTGAAGTGGGTTTATTGTGTTGAATTGTTATCACTAAAATAATCATTGTACACAAGGAGACTTCTCTTGTTTTTCTTATTTGATGAAATTTTATGATTTATATACTCAGTAATAGATTGATATGAAAATTATTTTTATGCCCCCTTTCGAAGAGGGGAGGGCATATTGCTTTGCTGCTGTCTGTCTGTCGATCCACTTAGTTTCCGTTCATTTTCTTCACAACAATTTCATATACTGAAATGAAATTTGGTATACAGATATTTCAGATGAATATCTAGGTCAAGTTCAGTTTGGGTCACGATCTCATCATTTTTAGCTCACCTCAACGAAGTTGGGGGAGCTTATGTAATACCCTCGGCGTCGGCGTTGGCGTCCCAGGTTAAGTTTTTTGGAGCAGTTTTCTTTTTAAGTACTTCTATGTCCTATATTGATTAGACATGCATGGAAGATGCTTCTAATGTGTTTCATTGTACCAGTCAAAGTTTCAGATGCTGCAATTTCAGCAAAGTAATGGTCAGGTTAATGTTTTTGGAGCAGGTTAACATTTTTGGTGCAGTTTTTGGTGCTTTCATTTCCAAGTAACTATAAGCCCTATGTTGACCAAACTTGCATGGTTGATACATCTAAGGATGCATACTACTGGGCTTGCTTCGGTTGATGAATCTGACCTACATTTTCCGGTTGAGTGAACAGGTTAAAGTTTTTGGTGCAGGTTTCATTTCCAAGTAACTATAAGCCCTATGTTGACTACTGAACAAACTTGCATGGATGATACATCTAAGGATGCATACTATCAGGCTTGCTTCGGATGCTGAATCTGACCTACATTTTGTGGTTGAGTGAACAGGTTAAATTTGTTGGTGCAGGTTTCATTTCCAAGTAACTATAAGCCCTATGTTGACCAAACTTGCATGGATGATACATCTAAGGATGCATACTACCGGGCTTGCTTCGGATGCTGAATCTGACCTACATTTTCCAGTTGAGTGAACAGGTTAAAGTTTTTGGTGCAGGTTTCATTTCCAAGTAACTATTAGCCCTATGTTGACCAAACTTGCATGGATGATACATCTAAGGATGCATACTATCAGGCTTGCTTCAGATGCTGAATCTGACCTACATTTTCCGGTTGAGTGAACAGGTTAAATTTTTTTGGGCAGGTTTTATTTCCAAGTTACTATAAGCCCTATGTTGACCAAACTTGCATGGATGATACGTCTAAGGATGCATACTACCGGGCTTGCTTCGGATGCTGAATCTGACCTACATTTTCCGGTTGAGTGATAAGGTTAAAGTTTTTGGTGCAGGTTTCATTTCCAAGTAACTATAAGCCCTATGTTGACCAAACTTGCATCGATGATACATCTAAGGATGCATATATCAGGCTTGCTTCGAATGCTGTTTCTGATCTACAATGTACATTTTCCGGTTGAGTGAGCAGGTGAAAGTTTTTGATGCATAATTCATTTCCATGTAACTATGACTTCTTTAATGACCAAACTTGCACGGATGATACATCAAAGGATGCATACTACCGGGCTTGCTTCAGAAATCTGACCTACATTTTCTGGTTGAGTGAACAGGTTAAAGTTTTTGGTGCAGGTTTCATTTCCAAGTAACTATAAGCCCTATGTTGACCAAACTTGCATGGATGATACATCTATGGATGCATACTACCAGGCTTGCTTCTTGTTGAATCTGACCTACATTTTGTGGATGAGTGAAAATGTTAGTTTGTGATGAATGTATCATTTCCAATTAACTATGAGCCCTATAATGAGCAAACTTGCATGGACAATACATCTTAGGATGCACACTAATGGACTTACTTTGGATGCTGAATTCGACATACATTTTTTCAGATAATAGACCAGGTAAAAGTTATAGGTGCAGGTCAATTACCAAAAAACTTGAAGGCTTATATAACATTGTATAAACCAAACCAAACTTGCACAAATGTTGCATCAGGAGATGAAAACTCTCAAATTTGCTTCAGATGCTTAATTTTAATTACATTTTCATGAACAACTAGTTTAAATTTTTTATGTACCGGTAGGTCTATTTCAATGTATTCGATCAAAATTGCTTAAATATTTTCATTTCTGGAATGTACACTTTTTGTTGGTTAATTGTGTGACTTTGCCTTACTTAAAGACAACATTCGTTGAGGTGAGCTCTGTAATCTCTGATTACCTATGTTTGACAGAGTTATACCCCTTGGACTTAGAAAAATTTCAATTATTTGCAGTTTCCCTTCATTTTCTTCGCAGAGGTTGCACATACTGAAATGAAATTTAGTATACAGTTTTATCAGATGAATATCTAGGCCAAAATCTGTTTTGGGTATGATCGCGCCATTTTTGACAGAGATATGCCCTTTTGGACCTAGAAAAAATTCAATGTGGGGGGAAGGGGAGCATTAGTGTTTTACAAACATCTCTTTTTTTTTTTCAAAGTGCTAGTCCTGCATGGTAAAGTTTTGGAATGATTTTAAATAAACTTGATTCAAATTAAGCTGAAAACATCAAAATACATTATTCTTTGAAAGCAAAACTAAAACAAAAGTAAAATTCAGATGCATCGTTATGGAACAAACTAGTAGAACAAGTCTCTTCAGAGATATCTGGTTTTATAATTCTAGATTAATTTTGTTGTAGTTGTTCACCACAGAAGTCTTGGAGTTGCTGTTTAAGCATCACTTTATGGACAGAAATGTCAACCCCCAGGTACTGGTAGTACTGGAGACAGTATCTAAAACTCAGGCTGAAAATCTGGAGTCCTTTGTGGAGGAATATCTAATGAAGACTGAACTCATGATGGAACTAACTGCTCACTACCAATTCACCATCTTAGTAAGGATAGCAGCTAAATGTAAGGTGTGGTATTTCATTGTATGCATACATGTTATAACCAGTAGATTAAAGATTTAAAGTATACTGTAGCTGAATGTTCAGAGCAAAGACAGACTTTGAAGTAAATGCCAGTTGTCATTCTTTGTTTCTGATTCCGATGCAGAATAAACAAGGCGTAGTTTATACATATTTGATGAAGCGACTGAAAGAATCCAACACTGAACAAGTTCTGACATCAAGCATACAGGGACTGAGAGAATTACATTCAATCTGTGGTGCTGAAATATTCACCTCAGAAGACAGGAAGTATATAGAGAGTTTGAAAACAAAGGGAATGTCTCAAACCTTGAGAGATCTAGCAGATAATCTGATAGATGAATTGGAAGGCAGAAGGTAAACATCTTTATGGCTTAGCCAAAGCTCGAATGGACTTTCCTGATTTCTTGGTCGTCCAGCTGAAGTTATTGTCATTGGTTAACTTTTTACATATTCACCTTCTTCAGAACCATTAGGTCAATTGCCATCAGACTTGGCATATATGTTTCTTGTGTTCATATGTACATCATACTCAATGTTATACATGTTTATCTTAGTCTAGAGGGAGTGTCCAAAGGCATTGAAGAGCAGTCAGGACAGATAGAAAAGTTAGAGGTGGGCGTGGCAGGAACAAAGGTAGTACTGAAAAAGGTACAGAGAGACGTCAATCAGCAGGGAGAGGAGATAGACAGTGTCAGGGAGGGGCTGGGAGAGGTCAACACGCGGGTGGATCGCGTAGAGGTGGAAGTGGAGGAGACAAAAGAGAGAGTGGAGGAGGTGGATAAAAAGGTAAAAATTCACTCATTGTGTCTGATTTTACTCTGCTTTCTAAGTTCACACTAATTTTATATGAGATGGTATATCAGTGAATATAATTTGACAAGTAAAGTGTTTTCTTATATTTAAATGAAAATATTTTAATGTATGTTCCAGACAATGAGTAATGCCCCTACTTGGTCTCGAGATGTTACAAAGCTGTTGAACCCGGAATCTGAGCATGACTGGAGACTCCTGGCTAGTCGCCTTGGTTACAGTCCTGATGACATCAGAGGCTGGGCCACCCAATCAGATCCCTGCATGGCCCTGCTGAGTGAATGGTATGCCACACACAAGACATTTGAGGCTTCTAAAGGTGTGCTGAATATCCTGCAGGAGATGAATCGTTTGGATGCTGCCATTATTGTAGAAAATGCCATGAAAGCTGCAGGTTTGATTTATATTTATTTTCAAACAAAAAGAAATGAAAATATACACATGCATCAATAAATTTATTTTTAACTGTAAAGATAAACATGGTATATTGGGTTTTATTCTAAGTTTTCTATAATAGCTCACTCTCAGTAATTTGAACTTTGTGTAAGATTTTATTTTTTCTTCCAGAGGGTGTTGTGGCAGATGAGCCAGTGGATTACCCAGAACCCCCTGAGATCTTCCTTAGTTACCAGTGGGGTCACCAGAATGAGGTCAAACTCATCAGTCGCCACCTGGAGATGGCAGGGTATAAATGCTGGATGGATGTTGGGCAGATGGGGGGTGGGGATAAACTGTTTGAGAAGATTGATTCTGGGATAAGAGCGGCCAAAGTTGTCATCTCTTGTGTGACAGAGAAATACGCAAAATCACCCAACTGTAACAGAGAGGTAGATAAGCAATAAAAAATGAATATAAGTTTTTTTTTATTTCTAATTTTACAGGAATTTCTTATGACCAGTTTATATCAAAAGCTAAATTGTATCTGACATCAGAAGATCATCAGTTAGTCTAACTGACATCATTGAACTGACTGTTCATTTTGTATCCCTGAATGACTGGTATACATTACAATATATAGAAATTAATTTTTACAATGGCAGGTCAATTTGTCTGTGAACCTTGGGAAACCTATGATCCCGCTTCTCTTAGAGAAAATGCCATGGCCCCCAATGGGTTCAATGGGACCAATCTTCAGTGAGTACCTGTTCATCCGATTTTTCCAAAGGCCAGGGGAGGAAACCAAGGATGACCGAATCTGGCCAACTGCCAAGTTTACGGAACTTCTCATGCAGCTCAACTGTTTGAAAGTGATGCCAGATCAGCAGAATATTTCACAAGGTTGGTTAACTTTGATTTTATTAATCCTACATGTATGTATCACAGATTAATTTCCCAGACTTACAACCAGTGCTTGATGCTGCCCTATAAACCAAATGGTGTAAAGAATGAGGATGAAGGATCAGTCTCAAGTTGATTATGTTCCTCTCTATTTATTTAAGTTTACCACTCAATCATTTTCTTGTCATTGTACAATTAAATTCTACTGATCTGTTAAAGAAGTGCTTTTACAATTAGAGTGTTTCAATGTTTGAGACACATAGTTATATATTATTACAATGAGAACCAAAAGAATATCGTGGCTTTGTCCATGAAATAATTTTGTGTGCTTGTCATCTAACAGTTATTAATGAAACATGTATCCTTTTCCAGCTTAAGCACTGGATATTGTAATTTTTTTCACTCTTTACAGAGTATAAGAATTGGTGGATACCAGTGGTGGAGAACATTGTAATCCCTAGAAAACCAGACAGAAAGGGGAACAACTCACCTCCAGCACCTGACAAACAGAAGGTGAGGGATTCTAACAAATATAAATTAAACAGATGGAAATATAGCACCTGTCTCACTGTTTCATTAACATTTGCACAGTTGTCATAAAATAAACATTTGCATAACATTCCTCAAAAGGGATCAATACTCATATTTTAGATACTTTTTTTTGCTTTGTGTAAAGAATAGAATGTTAGGAAACATATCTGATTTATACAAGACAAGCATCATACAAGTAGCAAAAAATATTCAAATATTTTATATAAAACATATATATCTTACAGTATTGACTTTTTGTCAAGTCAATACTGTTTACAGGGTTATAGTTGCCCCGTGTTATTTTTGTCCTTTTATACTTTCAAAAATTTTGCCCCGTTTTAAATTCACCCAATCTTAATTCCATTTAAGAAATTATGTTTTGCTGTTTGATTTCACTCCATTTTTATTTCGCCCACATGTGACAAGGGCAAAAGGAGCAAAAATTAAAACAGCAGTGAAAATTTCCCTGTATACAATTTTTAGAAAAATTGAGGAAATAAAATTTATCATCTCATTGTGACTTTTACAACTTAATATGTATGTATTCAGCACTAATACTAGTAATTATGGGGGCTCAACTTTATCTTGAATAAAGGAAGGAAAAGTATTTGTCAATTTTTCAGTTTCTTTGAGCTATTATTTAATTTATGAGAAAAACAATGTTTCAATAACAAAGGACATACCCGGTACCCGTTTTGTTTTTAGGCTACATCAGAGGTGGTCTCCCCTGACATTTTCATCTCTTACCAGTGGGGTAAACAGAAGGAGATATCAGCCCTGTACCAGAGACTGACCAGTCAGGGCTTCACCTGCTGGATGGACATCCACCAAATGGGGGGAGGGGATTCCCTGTATGACAAGATTGACCGGGGGGTCAGAGGTTGTAAGGTCGTCCTGTCCTCAGTCACCACCAAGTATGCTCTGTCTGCCAACTGTAGGAGAGAAGTCAGTCTGGCTGATGCTCTGAAGAAACCTATCATCCCCATGCTGATGGAAAAAATAGACTGGCCCCCAGGTGGACCAATGAGCATGGTTCTTACACAACTATTGTATGTTAACTTCTCAAAGGATGAGTCCATTCAGTTATTATGGGAGGGAAAAGCATTTGATGAACTGCTTAAGAAGATTGAGGAACACATTCCCAATGAAAGTACTTATCAGGATGAGAAGACAGAGAGAACATTAAATGCCTCAAAATCTGTAAACTCTTCTGTAAATGGTAGTGATGGAAAAAAGCAAGGTGACCTTGAAAGAGAAAATCCCTCCATTCAGAAAATTAAACCACCATCAGCGTCTGCTCAACCACAGACAAAGTCTGCTAGTGTTGACCAAAATAGTCAAGTACAGTCCTACACCAATGATCAGTCAGACAAAAATGACGCCAAAAAGAAATCAGCAGCTTGTTGTGTACTGTAATATATTGGTGCAATTAGAAATAAAAATTTAATAACAAGCATTTTCAGTGATTGAAATAATTTAAAAAGAAGAGAAATTTCTAAAGTCATGCTTTTGCAATTTTATCAACCACATCAATTATTCCATTGTCTTGGAGTTGTGTACCTCTATCAATATTGTGAAAGTTGTATCCTCTGAATACATTAAATAATTTTTGTGATATAATTTTTTAAATGTAAACACAGCAAATTTTTTAAAACCGAATGTTCAAATTATTTCTACTATATGTCTACTACCCTGGCTACCCGGGTATATGATCAGTTAAAGTAGCCCCACCATGGTGTTCAGCAGGAAAAGTGCATCAAGAAGAAATCTGAATTTTAATAATTGTTTCGAACAATTTAATGTCTTGCTCTCTCTCTCCCCCCCCCCCCCCCCCCCAAAAAAAAAATTAAAAAAGAAAAGCATTAAAAACTTTGTAGAAAACTCACTGGTTGTGTGATGTCCAGAAAATGTTTATGAAATTAAGTAATGCTGCAGTTTAATACTATAACTGTTTAGACTTAATGATTAACTGCATCAGAACATTTTTAAAAGTACAGCTGCCACTGAAGTACATCATAAATGCATAACAATTTAACAGGTAAAATGATCAAGTATTAGCTTAATAACATCTGCAGCAAACAGTCCTCTGACTACTAGATGTATATAAACCTGTAAATCAAAGATATTTGACCACTTTTCAGAGATCATGAGTTTAATAAATAGAGTCATATTTGTTGCTTGTGTTCTTTTCACATTTGTTTCAGGTAGGTTAAATGTCTCTCTTTGTTTAAAACATAATTTTAAAAATGCTATATTTTATATCAAATAATTAACTACAGACAAACTTTATCTTGAACCTAATGGGTCTTAATTGGGACAAAACTTCCAGATATCTCGGGATTCCAGATACCGAGAGTAAAATACTTAAAGAATATGTGGTTGGAACTTCAACATCACTTTGACATATACTTGGTATTCGAGATGTCAGAGTTCAAGATATGGAAGTTCAACTGTATTTTTGTAATTGTAATGTTATGTGAAGTACTGTAAACACAACTTTTATTCGCGAGCGAGAAATCAGCGAATTTTGTGATCTTTTAGTCATAAAATCAATGTAAATGGCTGTGTACCATTTATTTTGCTTTGTATTTGTATAGCATGTTTCCTTACTAGTAAAAATTAATCATCGCTGATTGATTTCAAACTGACAAATCACAAATAAAAGATGACGCAAATAATAGCTGGTTTACAGTATTACAAATGCATACTTAAATTATTCCCCAGGTAAGCAGTGCAGCTACCCGTACAGGACGCTGGGTTCCAACTGTTACTACTTCAGTACAGATAAAGCATCCTGGGACGAGGCTTATGTAAGAGATAGGGCTTCCTTTCTTCTCAATAAATTTTCTTTCCATATACACAAGGTTAAAAATTAAAGAGATATGATACATCTGATTTTTCTATCTCTATAAAGTACTTTTTAAACTGCAGAAAATAAAATATTACGCAGATATCCATTTGCTTATAATAAAAAAAAGTTTACATTGTATACAAAGAATAACCTTTGACAGGTGAATTGTTTTCACAAAGGCGGATATTTGGCAAACCTGGAAACTCTTCATGAGTATCTTATTATGCGATACAAACTGGCAGGAATGAAAAATGGTAATGTTTGTATAAAAAGAAGGCAGTCTAATGGTAATCATGTACATGTAACTCGCATGTCTGTCATAAATTGATAATTATTATACCCCCGGCTTGAAAAGTGATCAAGTCCATCCATCTGTTAGTTTGTCTTACTCTTTAGGGTATCCATCTCTTATCCGCAACATCTCTCTTACTACTGAATGAAATTTAATAAGACTTTCTCAGAATCTTTGTTATATAGTAAAACTATTGTGCACCTCCTATTTTACTTTTTGATCACAGAGATGTTAAAATAATGGACAGACATCCCAATCAATATATACCCCCCCCCCCCACTTTTCAATCGGGGGTAAATAAACTGAGTAATGCATATGGCTTTTGAAGTAGAGTGTTAAACTACTGACATTTCGTTCGATACAATGACCTTGTCAGCAAATAAAATTTATCATCAAGTCAAATGCTGACTGACGTTTTTCATACTATTGTTTATGGCATGCCAAATTCACAAAAATGCAATAAACCTAGTTTCACATTTGATAAACTAGGTTTATCGACTGTAAACTATAGTTTACAAACCGTAAACTATAGTTAACGATTCGTTAAGTATAGTTAATGATTCGTTAAGTATAGTTTTCAACTGTAAAACTATATTTAACGGTTGTTAACTATAGTTTACGAATGATAATCTAAGTTTATATAGTAATAAGCGTTAACTCTATTAGATTTTGTTGATAAACATAATCATGCAAACTATAGTTTACAATGTAAACTATAGTTAAGAGTTGTTAATCATAGTTTTACAAATCCTATATTTATCAGGTTAACAAAACGGTTTGTAAACTATAGTTTACAAATCCCATTCTATAAGATAATCTATGTTTTGCAATCGCAAATGATTGTTTTCAGTGTTAACTTAACGGTTGTGAAACATAGATTATCACGTTACTATGGTTTACGGATGTAAAATATAATTAATTATATTTTTACAGTCCGTAAACTATAGTTTACAAATAAACCTAGTTTATTGACTGTGAAACTATGTTTAGCTCATTTTTGTGAATTTGGCTTGCCATAATTGTTAGCTAGTCCATTTAATTTATACATTGAATCAACAACGCATTTTTCCGTTATTTCCCCATCATGACAATCAACACATGGCTGGTGTGACCGGTCGCAGGGGATGCTCACTCCTTTTGAAACCGCTGATGTTTTACCATTGCTTATCATTTTGAATTGTTTTATGACTTAGCATGCTTACTCCATATGTTTCATCTTCAATTTCATCTCCTTAAAGGTAATTCCCACCCCCGAGTTTCAGCTTCAGAAATAAAATGACCCATTACTGTTGATTGAATGTTACTGATATTTTTTCACTTAGGCCATAAAACAGAGGATGTATAGTAATGGGGTGTCTGACCTCTATTTGTCTGTACTTCTGTCCATTATGCTTTGTGGTAAATTTTGCAAATTTTATACCACTAAAAAATTTAATGGTTGATTTTAATATAAATGGTGCAGATTTGGAAACATTAATTTATTTTAAGGAAAACCATGTCAACCCCCCCCCCCCCGACCCAGGAGGGCGGGGGGCATAAAAAATAATCATTCTTGATAGGATGCACCTTTCTTCATGTATAAATTTCACACTCACCGGTTCACTAAACTCCTTATTGTTTGTTTGATACTCGAAAAGATTTTATCAAAGAATTAATGTATTTCTGGCTCGCAAGCATGTTTCTTGCTTATCATTACTATATACTTAGTTTGTTGTTATTTAATACCCAGGACGTCAGAGAAGAGGATTTTCAAAGAATTAATGCATTTTCACTGTATGAACCGTACGCGCATAATTTCCACGCATGTGGCATTAGAACCCGTTGTCACGTGTGTTGCCATAAAATTCTCAATTTTGGAACGGATTGTTAACTTGCGTCTAAACATAATTTTATATTTAACTTAAAGTATAATTTATTACCCTGTGAATCATTTGTATATAACTTTTTGATCAGACACATATTTCAGATTTTCCATATCCATATATACACTTAAATGTCCTTCTTTCCTTATATCACCAGAACCCCTTCCAAAGCAACTTCATGTGTGCATGACAAAATTCACAATTTTGGACAAGTTAAAAAGGCTTATCTGTGGTCCCATAACTATGTCAAATTTCAAACATTTATCAAAAGCCTTAAAAATTAAATTTTATTATTAAGAATATGCATTTTTGAGTCATACATGTATAACCAATATACCCCACCCTAAAACCAGAACCCCTTTGATTTTTATGAATGTCATAAAAATCACTCACAATTTTGGCTTTTGTAAACACCGGCACAGGTTTGTTCATCATAACTAATGTACTATATATAAATATATATTGTGTAAAGGTTAATACCCAGGTTGATCAACCTTGTGCTCTATGTTTTCTATTTAAAAGATTTTCAAATAAATCATGCTGTCTTCATTTACATATATAACCTCTATATAGCCCTGTTTAGAATCTAACAATTAACCCGTGAATTTGTGTCGTTAATATGTCCCCAATATATATGTGCTTGCAAGTTCTCAAAACGTACTCATTATATTCACCATGGACCAACAGTTATAGTGTTGATGTCAAGTTTTGTAAAAAAAATTGATTTTTAAAGATTGTGAATAATTATAATTCGTCTTTGAAAGGAAAATATATATCAAGGATATTCTTAAAATTCAAAATTTTTGTTCCCCGTATATAGTCTAATGGGGGAAAATGTTGTATAGCATTTTTTAATTTGGTTGAAAATTGGTTGTATTTTTTTGGTTTAATTATTCATTATAATAACAATGCTTTGATTAAAATGTTAACACAATAAAAGCAAGCAAAATACCCCTTGCAATATCACCTAAACCAAGTGTAAAAACTAAAAGGGACCATGCTACTATACTTTAGAAAATTCCTTTGGTTCTGAATGCTGACAAAGCTACTGGTACTTTTTGACTCCCTCTTCCTTGCTAAATAGCAACACACTCTTTGTACAGCTCTTAACTTCAGCATTTGCCATGTGTTGCCAATATTGAATCGATGATTAATTACTTGTGACATTGCGGTCAAACAATGTCCTACTTCGCCTTTAGTCCTGGAGAACCTAGTGGTACCAAGTGAATCATTAGAACTCTGTTTTATGGCTTCTCTCTAATAACCATTTCAATTTTGTTGGACTTTTTATGTGTGTGAAAAATAGATATATAGAAAGCTATTTATAAGGGTATATAACAATATACAATAAATCCACATCACTTGGACATATCCTTATACTTTTACTATAAATGACAGCTACAAGATATGTGAAATTTTTTTTAATTACAAAAACAGGCTGTATTTTTGTAATTGTTTACACATGTTATGTGGAAGGCTGTACCCAACACAACTTTTATTTGTATGTGTAGAAATTTTACAGCTGCTACAAATTTTATGACTTACGCCATCCACCGGACAGGCTCGATAGTCACGAATATAAATCACTGCGAACCATTTATTTTATTTTGTATTTGTAGAGTATCTTTCCTCATTCGTGAAAATTGTCGCTGATTGATTTCAAACTGAAAACTGCAAATAAAAGATGACGCAAATAATAGCTGGTTTGCAGTATTAAGCATGCCTACTTTAATTATTTCCTCAGTTGTGTCAAGCAGTGCGCTCCTCAGCTACCCGTAAGTTGGTGGCCAGTTTCTTTAGGTTCCAACTGTTACTACTTCAGTACAGATAAAGCATCCTGGGACGAGGCTTATGTGAGAGATATCCTTTGCTCTGTTCATTTAAAATGTCTTTCAATAAATACAAGGTTAAAAATGAAATAGACCTGATACATTTGACTTTTCTTTGTCTCTTCAAAATACTTTTCAAACTGCATAAATAACATAAGCATGTTTGCAAATACCCATTTGCTTACAAAATTATTTTACATTGTATATTACAAAGATGCAATCTTTGACAGGTGAATTGCTTTCACAAAGGTGGATATTTGGCAAACCTGGAAACTCTTCATGAGTATCTTATTATGCGATACAAACTGGCAGGAATGAAAAACGGTAATATTTGTATTAAACATACATACAAAGTGAAATAGGAGGTCACAATGGCATTATGTAAGGAAGAAACTGTGAAAGTATCTTTAAATTTTATTCAGTGGTATTGGAGGAGTTGCAGATAAAAAATGGTTTAAAGTATTTAGTTATTAATCCTTCAATATTATAGAAAGAATGGCAATTTCCATGTTTTGCTATGGGAAACTCAAAATATGTGAAAGGTCATAGGAGGTGCACTATGTAACAAAGATTCTAAGAAAGTGTCATTAAATTTCAACCTGGAGTGGTATAAGAAGAGTTACAGACAAGAGGTGGATACCACAAAGCGTAACAGACAGGGATGGACAGAAGAGTTACAGACAAGAGATGGATACCACAAAGTGTAACAGACAGGGATGGACAGAAGAGTTTAATATTTAAATTTATATTTTTGTACTAAAAAGCGTAATCAGACAGGGATGGACAAAAGAGTTTGTCACAGAAAACAAGCAGACTTCAAATAGGTATATGCATTTATAAATAAACGCAAATTAACAGACAGGGATGTGTTACATGATGACAAACATGACTCAATCACTATATACCCCCACCGCCCACTTTTCAAGCAGGGGTAGAAATATTCACCAGTGAAAGTGTATGGCTTTTGAAGATGATTGTTAAACTATCAGAAGGATGTGCTTAAAATTCTCAAATATTGTCAACTATGACCCGTTTCATGTTGTTTACTTGGATCCTTACACTGGCTATAGTATGTTGATAAAGTATTATTTTTTAAATTGTTAAAGTGTATCAAAAGAATTCAGATCAGCAAAAATGCTCTTAAATCTTGTTAAAAATTTCAATTTCATCCCTTCCAAGCGCTTTGTACACGACAACCCTCGTATACTGCTCCAGAAAAACCAAGATCCTCTATTTTCTGTTGAGTTGAATGTTGTATATATATTTTTCCCCAGAAAAATTGAATATCTTATACATTTTCGCAGGGTTTGCGATATATGTTATTTCTCAGGGTGTATTCTAATATGCAACGTCCTCTGCCCATATTTATGCTTTGTGGTACACACGAATACTGCAAAAGCTTGTTTTATATGATTCATAAAATTTAATAAAAATCAAAGAATCTTAATTACATAATGTCATGTATTATTTGAGTATTTGAGTCCTTTTTATATTTTCGGTTAAATTTATTAGAGGCATTTTCTAATAAATATATGAAATATATGTTAAAATGTTCTGTTATAGTCTTTGTAATTATAAATTTGACAAATTATACGTTAAGTCGTTTTTGTGTCAGCAATCAAACAAAGTCTTATTTTCAAAAACTGCACAAAAACTAACAAATTTTATGGCATCATATACCTCCAACAACCAGCTAGAACTTTTTGTAGTCCCTCTTACCTAAAGTAAATCTTCGTTTTACTAAACACAAAAAATATGTATACTGAAACAATACTTTATTAAATTACATTAAACTATTCAAGTTTTATTGTAAAAAAAATCCACAAAGCAGTATTTCAGTAAAAAAAAACAGCCGTGTGTTGTTTAGCAATTACAAGCATTTGATTTCAGAGTTATATTTTTCAACAAATATTCGGTATTTTAAGGCAACCACAACTCTGTTTATGATTTTTACTCTAATTACCAATATCAATTTGTAGATGTTCATTGCAATTCAGTTGCACGATATGTGTGTGAATGAAATTCATGAAGATCTTTAAATATTTATTTGTACCAAACGAAATGTTTTAAAATACTTTTATGTTACCTATGGAATTTTTTTGCAGTAATAAATATTTTGACTTTGCAATAAATCAGCTAGTTGTGTGTTTACTTTATAGCCTGTTATAAATGACAGCTAATCAAAAGTATGTGATAATGTTTTTATTAAAATAAAAATTCACACAGTAATTCTTTGACATCAAACTAGGAATAATTCTCGGTTTACACATTATTTAAAAATTTTATCAGTCTGGATGTGGAAGGCTGGGGCCACCCAAGCACCACATGATAACCTAATTAACTGTCTTAGATGTATGATGCCGATTTTTACAGCTGCAGTAGGTCTTCAATCTAAATTGCATAAATTACAGTCATTTTGTAATGATTGGTGTCTGGAAGTGGACAAAAACCAAAATTCTGATATTTAATAAACAGGCTCGATAAAAAATGAATAAATCACAAACTCTCTCCACCTCATCAGGGGTACTCTTTTCCACTTTCTCTGAGGACACTTTTCCTCTCCAGGCATTTTATAAACTGCAACCTTTTTGTCTCCAAGTGTTAAAACTCCCACTGAGTGATTACATAATCCCAGACTGCTTAAACAAGGCATGCCTGCACTTACGACATATTAAACACTCCATTCTCTGTATATGATCTTTTTAGTAAGTGTGTCAAAGTAACTGGAAATTTTGTAGTATATTGGGACTGCATAGGAAAAGTGCAAACTTCTCCTCATTAATTGGTGGCCAGTTTTTTGATATTATAAAAAGTATTTTGAATTTTCATGGATTAGAATGTCTATGTATTGTCATTCCCATTATTGAGAGCAAACAAAAGTAAGATTAATTGGAAACAGTATACCATCTTGGTATGGAACATATAGTAAAATTGCATACTCTTCACAAGTTTTTGTCTAATGCTTCACTATAACTGCAAAAAACATTTTTTCTTACTCATTAGATAAGCAATCACAATGGTGGCACTTATGTGAAGATTAAAACAAATTTTGGACTTGAACAATACTTACTATGCCTGCCATTTGAACAAAGAAAATTAATATGTAGGTTGCGTCATCTACAATTTACAAATTGAAAGAGGCATTCCATTCCTAAAATGGACTGTACTAAATGTCAGTGAATTCTAAGTCAAAGCCACACACTTTTTGAATTTATATTTGTTACAGTGAGAGAATCTGTGTATACAAAGACACTGTATCAATTTTTCTCATTTAAATAATGAAAATGTGTGTTGTGGGTTCTGTTTGAAAATTGATCTGTTCTGTTTGTGAACTGGTTAGACAAGCCATATAAAATACTGATGCATATTATGTTGCATTTATATTTATAATAATAATAGGTTCATGTAAAAACTGTTTTTACTAAATTTAAAAAAAAAAAAAAAAAAAAAATCTATAGTCAAGTTCTGTGAACCCTGCAACTGGTGTCTGAAATTAAAAAAATATAAAAGTTAATAAATATTACTTGTAGTTGAAACATTTTATGAACTATTTCTTAGTACAGTCAAGAAACCAATAATCTGTGTGGACTTATATATACAATTTGTGTTGGTAGATAAAAGCTATATATATATATATATATATTTTCTCCTTTCTGTGTATGTATATCTCTGGCTATTTTGCACAACATCAAATATTTATTAAGGACTTAAAGGATTACCAATTTAGTTCTAAAAGTGTGAACTCTAGATCAATGATCTACCAGATGATCTATTTGACCACCAGTGATAAGTTGTCTGACACAAACAATGAAAGAGGAAAGAATATGGTATTCATACAGATTTGATTGGTAAATGGTTAAAGTCCATGTTTTGATTCCCAGTCCAGCCATATATAATTATGAGCATTAGTCCATTCCATAACTACATTTAGTGCTGTGACCTTGACCTGGAATTGAATGAATAGACCTGCCAGGGAATATGCTTGGTTGGTGTACAGTATACACATATTTGTTTGGGAACAACATTTTAGGGATGAAGGTATTGGTCGCAATATATTTTCATTTTTGTTACATTTGGTACCATTCTTAGCTCTGGAAGGGACAGGAGAAAAAATAGGCAAGTCAGAATATATTGAAATTAAAGCCTAGCTTGTAGGTGTCTTTCAGGGGAATATACTTTTGAATGAAGTTTTGGACTATCAAAGATGGAAGGGGAAATGTGGCATTCAAACAGGTTTGATTAATGATGGTCATAGAGCCTAGCTGGTAGAGGGTCTGACTTATAATATATGAAGATGATATAGGTAGTCCATGCAGTCTAACCTATACAGCAGGTCCAGTACAATCACTAGATTTAGCTATGTAGGTAAAATTGCCTATGTAGCTTTATTTACCTATCTCAGGTAGCTTTATTTAGCTATTTCAATGTAACTTTTTCAAAATTTTTCTTTTTATTAAAAAGAGACAAAAAATCGCAATTTAATGACTATTGATATTTATACTAGGGAGACTTAAAAAAACAATCCAAAGCAGAGATAGTTTATACATTGCTGCATTTGGACAATTTAGAGCAAAACATGTAATTCCATTGTTTAGTTAACGGTCTTCTCTCATGTGTGCATTGAGGCATGACTGAGTATAATTACTTCACATTGTGCTGAATAATTACCGACCTATTATCGTGTTAACCGGAACTGGATTTCTTTGTCATTTCGTTCAAGGAGTAACTGTTCTAACTGTCATACATAGCCCCAAAACTTTCAGAACTTTGATTGCAATTGCGCAGAGAAAGACATTTCTTCGAGCGGGATTTTTTCATGAGTTGTTTTCAGATGAGTTCAAAGTTGAAAATGATCACTGCATCAAAATGATATTTTCTGCACACCCTGAGAAAAATGCTTTTATATAGAAATCAATTGATTTGGTAGCTAAATAAAGCTACCTCAGGTAGGTAAATAAAGCTATGTAGGTAAATCAAACTACATAGCTAAATCTAGTGATTGTACCAGACCTGTACAGTTTCTTTCATTAGAAAGTTGTAAAACAACAATTTGGCTTTACCTTTTTAAAACTAAATAAAAGGTTCAAAATTTTACTAAAATGGAAACATTTTCTCATTTGACCAAAGTCGTTTAGAACAGAAATGCCAGCTTTCATAATAACCCCTGCAAGTAAAAACCTGTTACTGTATATGCTTTCTCTATGTGGTATGGCAATGACAATCCCAGAGGAAATTCGGGAAACCAATACACATGGTACAGTATTTCACAACCTGAATGTTTTTTCTTTGATATACAAATATGTCTCTAACAATTAAGCTACACACAATTAAATATTGTTACCTAACACCAACTTCAAAAAGGTCCCTTACACGCCTGTAAAACTTCAGAAAGTAAAAGTTGATATCATCATTTGACAGCTCTTTTGTGGAGTAAAACAAAAAAGTGCAGCGCCCGAGGGGTTGCGAAATGACCACCGGGAGATACGGATGTTTAGTAGGCTAGATGCAATATTTAGAACTTGGTTATTTAATGAACTTTGAAGGAATAAAAGGAGTTGGACAGGTAAGTGTTACGTTCGATAAAACGTGACTAAATCTGTCAATCACTCAACATGCTCAATCAGTCGATGGCTTGTTGATGTTTACGAAATGCATGAATATTGTTAACTGTAAGACTCATTAGACTGAAACTTTGTTTATCATGTTTATTTGGTCCAGTCCATTTGTAGGCACATACAGGTATTGAAATCTGCTTGTAGCTTTTTCTACTACCTTTTTTTTTACCTGACTGACAAAAGAAAATAATTAAGAACTAGGGGGCATCTTTTCTTTTTGTTTAATGATTAATCATATTTTATGCAATTGCTCAGCAAAATTCAGGAGATCGTGGAGGGAAAATGTTTGAAAATTCATCCTCAACAATTTGTCTGAGAATGCATGCAGAAAACGTTTAAAATTGATATAAATTTGCAGGACATTTTATTCTTTGTTTTGATCCTTTAATTAGTTCCAGGAAATGAAACTGGGTTTATTGGTGATATTTTTTGGCCAAAATTTTTATTGTATTCATTGTCACTGACAGTATTATAAGAAAATTGGTACTCACCATATTGTGCCATTTCTGCATTTTGCCACTAAATGCATATAACATGAATAAAGGAAAAAAGTAGGTAAAAATAGCAACCTGGAGTAGGTTTAAATACCTATTAGGTATATAGCTGTAAGTAGCTACATAGGTAGAAAAAGTCTTTGGATGCATGTACTATGTACACCTGTCTATTGCTTTGATCTTAGAATTTCATATCGAGAACCAAGACTTGTAAATACATTTAATTAAGTAGTTGCAGTAAAAATATTCATTCCTTTTTGTTCCAGTGTCCAGTAACACAGATGAGAATAATTGTGATTAGTGAAGTCCTTGTAGTACAATTTGTATTTTATATAGTACACATTCCCCACTCTACACATACTGGGCCCCTGCATCAGACAAATTTTCCACCTCCTCCCCAGTGGAAATTCTTAGATCTATCCCTGAATAGTACATGCATATATTACATTCTATTTTTACATGTGATTGACAGAAGTGATAGGTTAATGAAGCCATGTTTACATGTTTACCTGTCGGACACATTAATGAATGCCTCATATAATGACCTTGTGGTAAAATCTGATTGACATATTCCACTTGACCTAGAACTTTAACATGACCCAACAACATGAAAGAATGATCAGCTTCTAGTAAACAGAATTTAGCACCAGAACTTAAGAACTTTGTTATAATTAGATGAGTTTATACAATACTTTCACCAAATGGAATTATTGATTTCTCAATGTAAAGTTTTCTGGTGCCAAACAGATGTATGCATTCTTTAAAATTTGAAATACAGTTGTATAAAAAAAAAATATATTTTTTTTAAAAGAATATATTCCATTGTTAAGAGGAAAACTAGGCAGAGGAAAGGCATTAATTAAAACCTGTAATTTACCTAAGATATGCATCATTAAGTTGTCAAAAGTCACTCAGTGGTATTGATTAAAAGAGTTATATAGAAATTTAGCATACCTGAATATGAAAACAGCTTATAAACCAATGTTGACATAGTTATTCTGTGTTGAGGATATAAAACTGATTTATCTTTATCAGAACAGGATTCAGTACTTGTACAAGTATCCACCAGGCCATTCAATAATCAAGTAATCCCGCGAGCAGTTCAGTAATCAAGCAGTATGAGATGACATTATTTAACCTCAATATAAAGACAGGGACTCAAACCTCAGATAATTAACACAGGTAATTAACGAGACAGATTCTGTGTCATTGTTCCTTTATTTGTTCTTGTCATCAGATTAAAATCTTTAGTTCTGATAATCATTTAATGTCTCAAGTTCATGTAATCTGACAGAATACAAAGTTTTTGATTAGAAGTCCTTTAGTACAATTTGTATTTTATATATGACACATTTTAAATGTATCAGACAGTCCTTTTATATAGTGGAAATACAGTGATTAATAGTACATGTTATATTACATTCTATTTTTACATTTTCATTGTAATCCATAGTTAATAAGAAGCCATGTTTACATGTTGTTTACACATTATATTATATATTGACCTTGTGGTAAAATGTAAATGAATTTCATTGAGTAAACTTTAACAGGTTATTGACTGAAAGAATGCTTTCATCTGAATAAAGAACTTAAGAACTTTGATAATTAGATGAGTTTATGCCCTTTCACCAAATGAATTATTGATTTCTCAATGTAAAGTTTTCACATAGATCACTTTAAAATTTGTCATGACCATCTTCTGCCCCTTTTTTAAAAGAATATATTCCATTGCTTTGCATTCAGGCAGAGGAAAGGCATCAATTAAAACCTGAATTTACTATGTAAGCATATCATTTATCAAAAGTCACATTTGCTGATATATTATTGATTAGTGCTATTCAACTGCATCAACATTTTTTTTACCTCTACCTTCCCTTTGACTTTGACTTCACTTTTCTTAAATTTGTGCTCAGCTCAGTTTAAAGAAATCACATTTCATGATATTTTTAATCAAATTTCATAATTATACTGAAATAAGCTTCAGTGTATTTTTTTTTACCTTGACTATTCTTAAATTTGCATTTTGCTCAGTTTTGAAGAAACCATTTGAAATGAATTTATTATTTGTGGAATAAATTTTAAATGTACAGTCCTTTTATATAGAAATACAGTGATTAAGATACTTGTTTATTTTCTTGGTTAGATTTTCATTGTAATCCATAGTTAATAAGGAAGCAGTTACATGTTGTTTACCATGTATATTATATATTTACTTCTGGTTGGAATGTAAATGAATTTCATTGAGTAAACTAACAGGTTATTGACTGGACTGCTTTCATCTGAATAAAGCAATCACTGATTTTTATGCCCCACCATGAATATTGGCCAGGCACATAGATCACATTTTATGTTCTATATTTCTATCCTTCCCCTGTGCTTTGCAGATAATCATAAAGAATTTAAAGTATCTTTATCAAAAGATTAATTATTGTGTTTCATGATCAACATTTTTTTTATACGTTTTGACTTCACTTTTCTTAAATTTGGAACAGCCATTTCTGATCAAATTTCATAATTATACTGAAATTCAGTGTACATTTTGCTCAGTTTTGAAGAAACGAAATGCCGACTGTAGTTCATTTAGTGATACATAACCCGCTTACGCAGGTTATCAGTGATTAACGCGATGGGTTTTCAAACAAAGAAAGACATTTTATTGAAATAAAGGAGAAAATATTCAGTGGATGTAAATACAAAATAATATATTAAAAATCTTAATTCATAGCCATTTAATATAGATCTAGTTGGTAGTTGATAAATGTTGAAGCCAGGATTAAGACTTTATTGATCTGAGATGTTGTATTGGACTGAGTTTATTACAGGTTTCTGTAATTAAACTGTTGTTGGGGGATACTTCATTAATTAGCTTTATATTGACAGGTAAAGATGTAGTCTGAAATAAACTCCAATGTTAGCTGTTCATCAGCTGTCCTTGCTGGACCATATAGTAGAAATCTACCCCAATACTATACAGCAGAGAGAAACATGAACAGCTTGGGCTCATCATACCACAAGTTACAGGTAAGAACTACCTGTATAGACCTCAGGTTACAAGCTACAGGTAAGAACTACCTGTATAGACCTCATATATCAAGTTACAGGTAAGAACTACCTGTATGGACCTTAGATAACAAGTTACAGGTAAGGACTACCTGTATAGACCTCAGACAACAGGTTACAGGTAAGAACTACCTGTATAGACCTCAGATAACAAGATACAGGTAAAAACTAATTTGTATAGACCTCAGATAACAAGTTACAGGTAAGAACTACCTGTATGGACCTTAGATAACAAGTTACAGGTAAGAACTATCTGTATAGACCTCAGATAACAAGTTACAGGTAAAAACTACCTGTATAGACCTTAGACAACAAGTTACAGGTAAGAACTACCTGTATAGACCTCAGATAACAAGATACAGGTAAAAACTAATTTGCATAGACCTCAGATAACAAGTTACAGGTAAGAACTACCTGTATGGACCTTAGATAACAAGTTACAAGTAAGAACTACCTGTATAGACCTTAGTAAACAAGTTACAGGTAAGAACTACCTGTATAGACCTCAGAAAACAAGTTACAGGTAAGAACTATCTGTATAGACCTCAGGTTACAAGCTACAGGTAAGAACTACCTGTATAGACCTCATATATCAAGTTACAGGTAAGAACTATCTGTATAGACCTTAGATTAACAAGATACAGGTAAGAACTACCTGTATAGACCTCATATATCAAGTTACAGGTAAGAACTACCTGTATAGACCTCAGATAACAAGTTACAGGTAAAAACTAATTTGTATAGACCTTAGATAACAAGTTACAGGTAAGAACTACCTGTATAGACCTCAGATAACAAGTTACAGGTAAGAACTACCTGTATAGACCTTAGATAACAAGTTACAGGTAAGAACTACCTGTATGGACCTTAGATAACAAGTTACAGGTAAGAACTATCTGTATAGACCTTAGATAACACATTACAGTTAAGAACTACCTGTATAGACCTCAGACAACAAGTTACAGGTAAGAACTACCTGTATAGACCTTAGATAACAAGTTACAGGTAAGAACTACCTGTATAGACCTCATAACAAGTTACAGGTAAGAACTACCTGTATAGACCTCATATGTCAAGTTACAGGTAAGAACTACCTGTATAGACCTCATATATCAAGTTACAGGTAAGAACTACCTGTATAGACCTCAGACAACAAGTTACAGGTAAGAACTACCTGTATAGACCTCAGACAACAAGATACAGGTAAAAACTAATTTGTATAGACCTCAGATAACAAGTTACAGGTAAGAACTACCTGTATAGACCTTAGATAACAAGTTACAGGTAAGAACTACCTGTATAGACCTCAGATAACAAGTTACAGGTAAGAACTACCTGTATAGACCTCAGACAACAAGATACAGGTAAAAACTAATTTGTATAGACCTCAGATAACAAGTTACAGGTAAGAACTACCTGTATAGACCTTAGATAACAAGTTACAGGTAAGAACTACCTGTATAGACCTCAGATAACAAGTTACAGGTAAGAACTACCTGTATAGACCTCAGAAAACAAGTTAACAGTTAAGAACTACCTGTATAGACCTCAGATAACAAGTTACAGGTAGGAACTCCTGTATAGACCTCAGGTAACAAGATACAGGTAAGAACTACCTGTATAGACCTCAGATAACAAGTTACAGGTAAGAACTACCTGTATAGACCTGGGAAAGTGGGACAGGCTAACAGACAGAGAGACAGACAGATGGACAGATAGATGCAGAGGAAATCTAAAGTCACCTCTGGTTTCACAAGTAGGGGACTAATAATGCAATGAGATAACAGGTTGGGATCTTAGGACTAATCACCCAAATTTGATTTAATTACCTGTATTATTCAAATAAGATATAACATGGTTTGTAAAAAAAAAAAAAGGGGGGGGGTATTTAGTTTGCTCTATATGAAGTCCACAATCTTTTAGGTGGAAGTGGTTATGATTTTTTTTTAGATTTGATTTTACAAAATTTGTTAAAATTTTCTTCTAAACCACCAACTGGTAGAAAGTTAAGGAATAGGATGTCTTGAGTAACTATGTAGAACTTGTAGCTTTATGTTTTGCCTCCAGTACTTTGGTCAGTGCCCAGAATTTATTTAGGTGCACTAAACCAATAAATGTCTGTGATTGTGTTTATATGGCTGCATTTCATTTCCGGAATTTTTGGTAATTATCAACTTTTCATTTCCGACATTTTTTAGTTTTCATTTCCGACATTTTTTTGTTTTCATTTCCGACATTTCAAAATACATATGTAGAACCTATAGTAACAGATTTGATCATTTTACTTATGACAAATTTTAAGGAATAAATCATAAATAAATCATTGAAATCCAATTTTGTAAATCTATCAGTGACTTGGACATAAGTATGGTGCTGTCAATGACATTTAATTAATGTGGTGAAAAAGTTTTATGCTCACTGAACTCTTTTACCTAGACTTAGTGCTACATGTATGCATATATGTAAAGCTGATTTTTGTTTGTTTTTTTTTTTTTTTAAATATTAAAATTTTGGTATAAATACTTTTGAAATTCCATTTTCTTTTACTAAGAAAACATTCAATTGCCGCACAGGTAAATTCCGGAAATGAAAAAATAATTGTGTCGCAAATGAAAACAAAAAATGTCGGAAATGAAAACAAAAAATGTCGGAAATGCTATGCATATTTCCGGAAATGAAATGCAGCGGTTTATATAATTAGGTGGTGTTCATTGTGTACTTGTCATCACTTGGTCTGAAATAAAATTCTCATATACATAATTATGTTGATTAGAACACCAAAACTATACACTGAATGTATATCTTAATTTAACATTAATAGTATAAATGTAATTATATTTTAATTATTTATTATTTTATTCTGATTTTTAAAAAATTATTTATTTAAATATTTTAAATATTAATTATCTATATTTCATAAATGTCGACCTATTACCATTCTCACTATTTGTCTCTTTCCTGATCAGTGGTTTTAATATAAGCCTACTGATTTTATGCAATTTACATTCGAATGGAATTATTTCTTTGAGTTGCTCATTCTCATGCTAATGGAACATTAAGATCTAAATTTAAGGAGATTTATACAAAGAGATGGACACAAGAAAGCATGGATTTGCTTCAATAACACAAAGATCAATTTAAATCTGTTACAAAAAAAAAATCATAGGTTAATGGAGATAATTATTGGACAAATGTAATTAAATTTTATGAAATCTGTCATCCCTGGGCCAATTTTAAATGCATTAAAGTTGATTGTTTATGTAATTTTATTATTTTATTTACAAGCTAAGGAAAGGTAACATAACCTATGTAGCACATGTACCGTGTTCCACATTGTTATAAGATATGACCTGTTGTCATGCTTACAGGGCTCAAACTTTTGAAGAAGCGTGAATTGAAGAGAATGTTAACAAGACTGACACATGTCTTCAAGTATTCCTAGTTGGCTGGCTATTGTTTTTCTGACCTTGTTGTATCTATTTCCCGTCAATTACAAACGATTGCCTTTTTTAATTACTTCTTTACATCTAATCAAAATCTTAATGTGGTTTATAGATTTTTTGATCTGCTGGCAGAGTGAGACAGTTTAGGAATCACTATAATTGGGAGGTTTAATTGTATTGAGATTTGGTAAAGTAAATTGATCATGCACTTTAAATGAAAATATCTTTTTGTGATGTACATAATTTTATATTCATATTTTATAATTAAGTATTAAGCCTTTAAAATGCACTTTTATTATTTGATTTGACGCAAGGTTAATATCATTAACATACTAATAAATAAATGATGTAATTTACTTTCAAAGATATGACATGTGCAATGAATATTTTGATCAGACATTGTAATGTGTATTTGACTAGGTTTATATGTACGTCGAAAAATTGTGATTTGTAATTATATCATATTTACCGGTATGTCAAAATTAGATCTGAGACAAATTTAAATAATTGTTAATTTTTTTGTATAATTAAGGTTAATCGAAGTTTTTAAACTTAAATTTGTTTTTCTTTCTATAAATTATTTAATTAACTTGCATGATTTCCAGGACAGCTCTCTACCAACATTTGGAAAACCCAAACCTAAGATGAAGAAGCCCGGTCGCTTCTTCTCACTAGTGATTGTAGTGTTGGGACTGGGGATAGTTCTTACTCTGCTGAATATCTACGAGCTTCATAAAATGAGGGAAACTGGGGCATTACAACAGGTCAGTCAGCCACAGGTGGAGGCAGGGACAGGAAAACATGCGGTCAGGATGCCAGTAGTGTGGGTGGCGGGCAAAAAGGTAGGTCATGTGACATATCATGTGACTTAACAGGGGAAAATGTTTTTGTGCATTGGTGTCTTATTTAGGTCAGTATCAGGTCTAAGGAATCAAAAATATTAAAATCTTAAATACTGATCAGATTATTTATCTCCTTTGATCAGTAAAAGTCAATGGTTTTTAATTTATTAAGGAAAAAAATTTGTAGTTAAATCAAAACGTACCACCTTGCATTAATATGGTGTGTTTAAAGAAAAGTTAAAAAAAAAACATTTTGAATAATGAAAACTAGAAGTTGTTAGAATATTATTCTTCAGCAGAGCTAGGTGCATCGAACAAATGCTTAAAATGGTACAAGGGGATTTCCATTGTCACAAAAGAGTTAGTACAATAGTTTGTCAAAAATAATCATAGCTATAGTCTTCTCTTAATTATTTCAGTTAGATTTTGGATTTGATCATTTTAAGCTTGTGTTTCCAGTATTTAGGGAGATAGAAATTGTTGTACTTTGAATATCTTGGATAGATTTTGGATAAAATATCCCTGGCATGTGCTTACAGTAATTGAGAGGATATTGTTTGTTATCTAATTTAGTAAATCTTAAGTCTGGATAAATGAAGCATGTGTTTGCATGTTTACAGTATTTGAGAGGATAGGATATGTTGTATTTTATGTATTTCAGCTGGAGTCCGGATACTTGAAGCATGTGTTTGCAGTATTTGAGAGGATAGGATATGTTACTGGTGATGGTGAATCTGAATTTGATGTACTCTGGTCACATGAATATCCGTTTGAACAGTTGGCCAGAAAAATCTCAGATCTCAAGCCTCATCAGAAGGTGTGTTTTCCCCAAAACATTCAAAATCTAGGAAACAATCAAAAAAACTTTATGCTTAAAAATTTTCATCAGAAAGTCAACAAAAAAGAGGATGACATTTTGTGCATTTCTTCAGATGTTTATTTCTTTACATATATACATGTACATTTATGGTTTATGTATGATTTGAATTTTTTTTTAACTTTATATGACATTTTCTGATCCCAGGTAAATCATTTCCCAGGGTCAGGATACATTACCAATAAAGTCAGTCTAGCTGTCTCCAACAATCCTTATATACCCAGAGCCTTCAAGATTCCCAAGGAAAAGGACAAATTTCTACAATATGTAAGTCAGAGTGTACATGATTAGAAGATATACAATGAGTAAGTCAGGGTATAATTAATTAGGTCAGATATACAATGAGTAAGTCAGAGTGTACATAATTAAGTCAGATATACAATTTATTAAATGATCAGGAATTTTGGTGCTCTCTGATTGGTCGAGACGCCTTTTCCTGAGATGTACCTCAGAGTGAGTTCACCTCATATGAGGTTTATTCGGGTTTTCCCTCTTGACCAACCATAGATTTACTTACAGGTTTTTTCGACCAATCAGATTGCATGTTTCAAAGCATGTGTCGGTATGAATGTAAACATGTCAGACGCCAGTACCAAGGAGATTAAATGCTTTTGAAAGTAAATGGTTGAGTATTTATTGTTTAATAATATTGTTTTCAATCTTTAACTACTAGTTGTTAATTAGATAAGTTGTGACAATTATATTATGGGTGTTTTTATTTGATGGAGACAAGATTGAAAGTGTCAAAAGTGTTGTAAAATTCTTGATCATTTAATAAAACTGTTATTGACTTTTGAATTCGGTCTACTTGTGACTATACACACCTGGTCAGGTATTGGTTAACATCGGCCTTCGGCCTCTGTCAACCAATATCTGACCAGGTCTGTATAGTCACGAGTAGACCTCATCAAAAGTCAATAACTGTATAGTGTAATTCAGAGTGTAGTTAATTAGGTCAGTAGACATACAATATGTTAGTATGTAGTTAATTAGGTCAGATGTACAATATGTAAGAACAAGTGTAGTTTTTAAGGTCAATATGTGAAAGTCAAGTCAGATATGCAGTGTGTAATTCAAATGCCAATGGACTCTTTTATAACTGTGTCCTGTGAGAAGACTGTCAGTTTAATAAGTTATTGTTGCATTTTGAACGAATTATCATGAAAGCTTGTTTGCAGGCAGAGGAGCACCCAGAAACATTGTGGGTCCAGAAGAGAAACAGTCACAGAGGAATCAAAATCAAACATGTACAAGGTCAGTAGTCCATGAGAATTGAGGTCAAACATGTACAAGGTCAGTACTCCAGGGGAATCTAGGTCAAACAGTACAAGGTCAGTACTCCAGGGGAATCAAGATCAAACCTGTACAAGGTCAGTACTCCAGGGGAATCAAGATCAAACATATACAAGGTCAGTACTCCAGGGGAATCAAGGTCAAACATGTACAATGTCAGTACTCCAGGGGAATCAAGGTCAAACATGTACAAGGTCAGTACTCCAGGGGAATCAAGGTCATGTACAAGGTCAGTACTCCAGAGGAATCAAGATCAAACATGTACAAGGTCAGTACTCCAGGGGTCAAACATGTACAAGGTCAGTTCTCCAGGGGAATCAAGGTCAAACATGTACAAGGTCAGTACTCCAGGGGAATCAAGGTCAAACATGTACAAGGTCAGTACTCCAGGGGAATCGAGGTCAAACATGTACAAGGTCAGTAGTCCATGGGAATCGAGGTCAAACATGTACAAGGTCAGTACTCCAGGGGAATCTAGGTCAAACATGTACAAGGTCAGTACTCCAGGGGAATCAGGGAAATCAAGTCAAACATGAACAAGGTCAGTACTCCAGGGGAATCAAGGTCAAACATGTACAAGGTCAGTACTCCAGGGAAATCAAGGTCAAACATGTACAAGGTCAGTACTCCAGGGGAATCAAGGTCAAACATGTACAAGGTCAGTACTCCAGGGGAATCAAGATCAAACATGTACAAGGTCAGTACTCCAGGGGAATCAAGGTGAAACATGTACAATGTCAGTACTCCAGGGGAATCAAAGTCAAACATGTACAAGGTCAGTACTCCAGGGGAATCAAGGTCAAACATGTACAAGGTCAGTACTCCAGGGGAATCAAGATCAAACATATACAAGGTCAGTACTCCAGGGGAATCAAGATCAACCATGTACAAGGATAGTACTCCAGGGGAATCAAGGTCAAAGATCTTGTCTTTTTTCAGAGCCAAAATTATTTCCCTATATATAGACTTGGAGTAACTTCCCTTGTCTGTTTACAGAACTGAAGTAACTCCCCTTGTCTATTTCCAGAACTGGAGTAACTTCCCTTGTCTATTTACAGAACTTACGTAACTCCCTTTGCCTATTTCCAGAACTGAAGTTACTCCCCTAGTCTATTTACAGAATTGAAGTAACTTCCCTTGTCTATTTACAGAACTTAAGTAACTCCCTTTGTCTATTTCCAGAATGGAGTAACTTCCTTTGTCTATCTCCAGAATGGAGTAACTTCCCTTGTCTATTTACAGAACCAGAGTAACTTCCTTTGTCTATTTAAAGAACAGAAGAAACTTCTCTTGTATATTTCCAGAACTGGAATAACTCACCTTGTCTATTTACAGAACCGAAGGAACTTCCTTTGTCTATTTACAGGACTCGAGTAACTTCTCTTGTCTATTTACAGACCTGGATTTGTCAGATGAAGGCTCCTTTGTTCAGGTGTTTGTGGACCGACCCTTTCTTATTGATGGCAGGTAAGATTTCGTTAAGGTGTTTGTGGACCGACCCTTTCTTATTGATGGCAGGTAAGATTTCGTTAAGGTGTTTGTGGACCGACACTTTCTTATTGATGGCAGGTAAAATTAAGTTCAGGTGTTTGTGGACTGACCATTTCTTATTGATGGCAGGTAAGATTTCGTTCAGGTGTTTGTGGACCGACCATTTCTTATTGATGACAGGTAAGATTTCGTTCAGGTGTTTGTGGACCGACCATTTCTTATTGATGGCAGGTAAGATTTTGTTTAGGTGTTTGTGGACCGACCATTTCTTATTGATGGCAGGTAAGATTTCATTCAGGTGTTTGTGGACCGACCATTTCTTATTGATGGCAGGTAAGATTTTGTTTAGGTGTTTGTGGACCGACCATTTCTTATTGATGGCAGGTAATATTTCGTTCAGGTGTTTGTGGACTGACCATTTCTTATTGATGTCAAGTTAAATTTCGTTCAGATGTTTGTGGATCGACCATTCCTTATTGATGGCAGGTAAGATACAGATGTTGTTCACATTCTTTTCTAACAGATGCATTATTTCTTATTTTTTTTCCATTGAGTTACAAAAGAGTGTATGAAACAAGTGTTGAAATATTTACTTTTATCCCATTAAATTTTTTGTCCTCTGTTGAAAAAGTGACTCAAAAAAATTGTTCATAATTTCTAAAAATAACATGCATTGAGTGACTGTCAGTGTTTTCATTGTTTCCACCTTTTCTGAAAGACTTTGAGGGAGTACTTGTCCATTCTGGACAGATTGTCTAGTTTGTAATTTTATAAATTAAAACTGATTACAGGAAATTTGACATTGGAGTGTACACCATACTAACATCCATAGATCCACTGAGAGTGTACATCCTAGAGTCTGAGGCTTTATTCAGGTCAGTATAATTTTAATTAATGTGAGTGAACACCTTATTAACACTAATAGCTCCTGGAGAGTGTGTAGAATTCCTGATTATATTTGTAGGTTCTGTTCTCATGATTACTACCCTTTTGATGCCCGGGACATCAATAAGTATGTGGTGGGAGATGCCTACACCCCAGTCTGGGAGGTATAATCTTTATCACTTGTATTCAAATAAAAATCCACCATCTCCTGACTACTGTAGTGTAGTCTAACTAAAAGTTGCACATTTTAGCTCACCTGAGTCAGGGCTCAAGTGGGATTTTCTGATCAAAATATGTCTGTTGTCATTTTACTTTGACATATCCATTGTATTAAAAATAACAGTATTGGAGATACCACAGTTCAATTGCTTGTACATTTTACATGTATATCTACTGCAGGACCTTAGTAAGTCAGGTGAGCATTGTGGCCCATAGGCCTATGGTTCATTAAACTAGTTGTGTCTTTAATTTCAACGGCTTTAAGAACAAAAGGGTTTAAGCTTTGTTAAAAGAAAAAATAGTTGTGGATAATAGGGATAAATATGATGTGTCTGTTCCAAGAGAGATAGGAAGTGGGATGGTGAAATACTTGAGGGGGAAACAATTGATCTGTGAAAAAAGTTTTCTAATTAATACTTATTTTCTCTGTAGATTCCATCCCTGAAGAAGTTGTACAGAGAATTAAATTTCAACTTTAAGGAATCATTTGATGCTTATTTGGAAAGTCAGGGTTAGAACAATTGTCTTCATAAAATTGAAAAGTGCACACTTTTGTGTATTAATTGTATAAAATCCCTTAATTACTGGAACCATCCCCGTGAACAATCATTCTGTTTAATGAATGCAGTAAGGGAGATAACTTTGACTTTGTAGGTCACAATGCTAAGAAGCTGTGGAGTAATATCTCGGCTGCCATTAAGACAGTTTATTTACAGAAGGAGGCAGCCATCATTTCCGCTACAAGTAAATATTCATCTTCAAGGTTAGTGCATGACATCTGGGGAAGCTAAGGGGGATATATAGGAATTGCCTTGTCTGTCTGCCCATGCAATCTTAACCAGCTATAACTTTGTAATGGAGAATTATTGGAAGTTCAAACTTGGTACAGAGATTGATTATGACCCAAAAGTTGGTCTTCACCCAAGGTCATTTATGTGAGTTCAAAAAAACTGACAGAAAAAGTACAAAGTAAATCTTGTACAGGCTCTATCTTGTTATAGTGAATCACTGGAAGCCCATACAGAGTAAAGAGATCATTCATCACTAGAGGATGTGTCCAGACCATGACCTACAGTTATTAATTCCTACAAGTTCAAGGTCACTGGCAGAAAATGTATAAAATTCTTGTCCAGGTTTAACTTAAATGTAGAATTCATTATACACCACATGTGGTGTGAAAAAAGTATTGAATTCTTGTTAACAGGTCCAGCACAATACCCCGATAAAGGTATATAGCTTGATAAAGCTATATAGCTTTATCAAGGTATTAGAAATACCTTAATCAAGGTATTTTATGTAATGAAAATTCAAAAAAATTCTTAAAAAATTAAATATTGAAAGTCGAGTTCTGAGTTGTTGTCAGTAAATTCACCCATGCATTTAGAGTACTCAAACGTAAAGAAATCAGTATAAAAACATGTCGTGCGAGGAGACGTTCTTTTATGCTGTATTTTTCATACCAGAGGGCTTTTCATGCACAAGTGGATACACTGACAACAACTCAGAACTCGACTTTCAATATTTTTTAGCTCACCTGAGCCAAAGGCTCAAGTGAGCTTTTCTGATCAAAATATGTCCGTTGTCTGTCGTTGTCGTCGTTGTTGTAAACTTTTCACATTTTCATCTTCTTCTCAAGAAACACTGGGCCAATTTCAACCAAACTTGCTACAAACTATCCTTGGGTAAACTGGATTCAAGTTTGTTCAAATGAAGGGCCACGCCCTTTTCCAAGGGGAGATAATTATGAATTAGAGAAAAATAAATGGCATTTTTAAAAAGTCTTCTTCTCAAGAACCACTGGGCCAGGAAAGATGAAACTCATTTGGAATCATCCTCAGATAGTTTAGATTCAAGTTTATTCAAATCATGACCCCTGGGGGTAGGGTGGGGCCAAAATGGCCGATCAAAGATTTACATAGGAATATATAGGAAAAATCTTTAAAAATCTTCTTCTCAAGAACCACTGGGCCAGGAAAGATGAAACTCAGGTGGAATCATCCTCAGGTAGTGTAGATTCAAGTTTGTTCAAATCATGACCCCTGGTGGTAGGGTAGGGCCAAAATGGCCGATCAAATTTTAACATAGGAATATATAGGAAAAATCTTTAAAAATCTTCTTCTCAAGAACCACTGGGCCAGGAAAAATGAAACTCAAGTGGAATCATCCTCAGGTAGTGTAGATTCAAGTTTGTTCAAATCATGACCCCTGGGGGTAGGGTGGGGCCAAAATGGCCAATCAAAGTTTTACATAGGAATATATAAAAAAAAATCTTTAAAAATCTTCTTCTCAAGAACCATTGGGCCAGGAAAGATGAAATTCATGTGGAATCATCCTCAGGTAGTGTAGATTCAAGTTAGTTCAAATCATGACCCCCTGGGGTAGGGTGGGACCAAAATCGCCGATCAAAGTTGTACATAGGAATATATAGGAAAAATCTTCTTCTCAAGAACCATTGAGACAGGAAAGATGAAACTCCTGTGGAATCATCCCCAGGTAGTGTAGATTCAAGTTTGTTCCAATCATGACCCCCCGGGGTAGGGTGGGGCCAAATGGCCGATAAAAGTTTTACATAGGAATATATAGGGAAACCTTTTAAAATCTTCTTTTCAAGTACTTCAAAGCCATGCTTAGTGATATTTATAGGGAATCATCCTCAGGTAGTGTAGATTCTAGTTTGTTCAAATCATGACCCCTTGGGGGGGTTAAAATCCAAGGCCCCTCCCCCCCCCCCCCCCCCCCCCCCCCTTTCAGTTCTAATCTGATATGTGCTTTTTCCTAGCCAATTGCTCAGGTGAGCGATGTGGCCCCTGGGCCTCTTGTTAAGAATTTTTTTGAATTTTCAATACATAAAATACCTTGATCAAGGTATTTGTAATACCTTGATAAAGCTATATAGCTTTATCAAGCTATATACCTTTATCGGGGTATTGTGCTGGACCTGGTTAATACAATATCTTTGTAGTGGTCAGTGATTGGAAGCTCATGTTTAATACCAACCTTTTCTGTATCTTGATCTTGAGTAGTAGTTCAAGTTCAAGGCCACTGGCAGAAAGAGTAAAAAAATGTCTGAGTTATAAATGTTATACTTAGAACAAAAATTATTTATGACCTGAGAATATGTCGTGACCTTGAACCAAGGCCATTCCATGTTCTAGGTCACTGACAAAAAAAACTTTAATGGGTAAACAATAAAAGTACATGTTTGATACAAATTTTGCTCATATGACTTGAGGGTATGTCATAACCTTGACTGATGGAAATTCTTGCAAGTTCAAAGTCATTTGCAGAAAAAGTATTAATTTCTTGTCGGTATTAAACTTTATATGATGTATCATTGGAAGTTCATACCTGGTACAAAAAGTTGTTTTCTAATCTAAGATGTCATAACATTGATCCAAGCTCATTGTGGCAAATTAAAGGTCATGGTTAAAAAGTGTAAAACTTATGTCAGGTCTATAATTATTGATGGAAAAACGTCTTATGACATGTCTATATTTAATTAAATGATTACTTATGAATAGAGGATATGTTTGTTAGCTCTACTGGTCAGAGACCAGAAGAGCTTATGCGATAGTAATGCGTCCGGCGTCCGTCCGTCTGTCCGTCTGTCTGTCTGTCTGTCCGTCTGTCCGTCTGTCTGTAAACAATTTTTCAAAATGCTACTCCTCCTACAGTTTTGGTCTAATTTCAATATAACTTGGCACACAAGTAGACTACACTAAGATACATAATTCTGTATATCGGTTTTTGATTTCGATGAACGGTGTTGCCGTGGTTACTAAAAATAGAAATTTCTGTGAAATTCTTTCAAAATGCTACTCCTCCTACAGTTTTGGTCTGATTTCAGTATAACTTGGCACACAAGTAGACTACACTAAGATACATAATTCTGTGTATCGGTTTTTGATTTCGATGAATGGTGTTGCCGTGGTTACTAAAAATAGAAATTTCTGTGAAATTCTTTCAAAATGCTACTCCTCCTACAATTTTGGTCTGATTTCTGTATAACTTGGCACACAAGTAGACTAAAATTAGATACATAATTCTGTATATCGGTTTTTGATTTCGATGAACGGTGTTGCAGTGGTTATTAAAAATAGAAATTTCTGTGAAATTCTTTCAAAATGCTACTCCTCCTACAGTTTTGATCTGATTTCAGTATAAGTTGGCAAACAAGTAGAATACACTAAGATACATAATTCTCTGTATCGGTTTTTGATTTCGATGAACGGTGTTGCCGTGGTTATTAAAAATAGAAATTTTTGTGAAATTGTTTCAAAATGCTACTCCTCCTACAGTTTTGGTCTGATTTCAGTAGAACTTGGCACACAAGTAGACTACACTAAGATACATAATTTTGTGCATGGTTTTTGATTTCGATGAACGGTGTAGCCGTGGTTACTAAAAATAGAAATTTCTGTGAAATTCTTTCAAAATGCTACTCCTCCTACAGTTTTGGTCTGATTTCAGTATAACTTGGCAAACAAGTAGAATACACCAAGATACATAATTCTGTATATCGGTTTTTGATTTCGATGAATGGTGTTGTCGTGGTTACTAAAAATAGAAATATCTGTAAAATTGTTTCAAAATGCTACTCCTCCTACAGGTTTGGTCTGATTTCAATATAACTTGGCACACAAGTAGAATACACTAAGATACATAATTCTGTGTATCGAATTTTAATTTTGATGAACGGTGTTGCCGTGGTTACTAAAAATAGAAATGTCTGTAAAGTTGTTTCAAAATGCTACTCCTCCTACAGTTTTGGTCTGATTTCAGTATAACTTGGCACACAAGTAGACTACACTAAGAACATAAAGAGACTTTATCAACGATCATTATTCTATTTAATGCTGTTTATAAAGTTTCAAATCCCAGCTGCTTAAGTACTTTCTCTTCCTTTGCTATAAGTTCAAACCAGTAGGGCTTCAGTCTCGACAGAGACTTCTGGTTTTTTTTAAAACAAGGTCTTTTTGGCAAATTGTTATGTTGAGTATTATTTTGTTAGCTTGGTTACAGTATATCTAGTTTTATTTCTGTGAAATTTCTGGACTATGTTAAACAATGTCTATAAAATACATACACGTGTATATTCTCTATAAAATGGCACAAGTAATAATTTCGTACTTTTACTGTTTTGTAGAAATTTCTTTGAAATGGTTCGATTTGACTTTGCCCTAGATGAACATTTAAATGTGTATCTTATGGAGGTACGTAGCTTTATATAAACATTTACTGTAAAATCACATATTTTCGTGGGATCAAATTTTCAAGGTTTGAGAAAAAATATTGGTTTGTGGGGACTTGATTTCGTGGTTGGAGAAGGTTTAGTAAAATGCACATGAAATTTAAATTGTGTTGGTCATAAATTCGTACGCCTCTCCATGCCCTGAAATCAACGAAAATTAACCCTCCACGAAAATTAGTGATTTCACAGTAAATGATAGACTGTAATCTGTATTAAAGAATTAATACATTTATCGTATATTTATTCCTGTATCCAGTAAATTCATGCCAAACATAGATAAAGTTAATTCATGTCTATATCGTAGCAAGGTGTTTTCTTCACCCAGTAAAAGAAGAGAAAATAAAAATACTAGACATAATAAACCAGTATTAGCTCTCTCTATAACAATTTGTTCGCTTTATTACAGTACTGTTTATCTTTTTGTTGTCTTATTTGCAGGTGAACATGTCTCCTAACCTATCTTCAGGACACTTCAGTGAAAATGCTGAGTTGTATGAAAAGGTGGTCTTCAATTTACTAAGTGTTGTCTTAGTCACCAGACCAGTCAAAAATGACTTCTTTAAAAGGTAGGACATTCAAATTCCATTACAATTCAGATTGAGGTCAAATTTCTGGGTAACTTTCTATTCTGACTTTGGAATAGATAGACGAGTGGATATCTGACAATTATGCAGATCTCATTGTGTGTTTATTTAGATTTTGTTTTCTTTTTTCATACTTTGATATCTTCAATAATTTTCTTTTCTTAAAGGTCAAATATAATATTTATGTGAAAATTCATAATTATTCATTATTATCAGCCTCTGGAATAATATTAATAACATTCTGAGGTCTGTTTAATTTTTTGTCACCAATTTCCATCATTAAAGGTCGTTTAAACTTACCTGAGTGACAAATGGATCATTTATTGTAAATCGCTTATCTCCCTTGTTGCATGACGTCATTAGAGACAATGTGAAATAGGAAGACTAGTGCATACTATATTGACGGGTTTGGAAAATTATTGTTCTCTAGATGCTGTCATGTGCGCTTTTAACTAGCTTTAATAATAATTCAGGACAAGATATGAGTATATTTATTTATTGTTTACGAACCTGAAATTGAGGAGAATACTAGTATTCATATTAAACTGAGAGTCTAAGAGAAATGGTTTTGAGCCCAATAAACATACAAAGCTATAAATATGACCAATATTTTTACATAGATCAGTTTACAGGCACGTAGCCACAGGGGAGGGGGTGCAGAGGGGGCCTCCCTATTTTTTCACAAACATTACGCTTACTAGGATTTCGAGTTTGGGCAATTCTCCCCCCCCCCCCCCCTTTTTTTTTGTTGCTTGTCAACTTTTAAAACTTTTCTCTGGCTGCCCCCTTTCAAAAATGATGCTACATGGCTGGTTTAGCCTACAGTTTAATTGCTGGTTTAGCCTACAGTTTAATTGAATATAAAATGTCTGACAGATTTCTTGGATTTATTTCAAAATTTAAGTCGTATTTTAGTTTCTCAGTTTATAGGTTTTAAAGCCCAAATACTGTTTGAAGGGAAAGGTTTTAAAATTTTTATTTGAATTATTTTAGTTACAGTACTGTACTAGACAAGATGACAGGCACCTGAGATTTTGCCCTCTCTCTCCTATTGAAAATTTAACAATATGTACATGAATTCCTCGTCTACATACCAATACCATGAATACTTTGATATTTTCCGTTTTTGTCAAGTTACAGAGATTGTCCCTTTACAGTATGTGCTCGGTATATTTACATACATGTATTACGCGGCGCCAAGTCAAAAGAACATGTATCTTGCCGTAAACTACCTCTAGCATGCTGTCAAAGCCATAAAAAGTACTTGTAGTTTTCATAAACCGTAAAAGAACAATTTCTAAAACTTGATAGAAAACGGGAGATGATCAAATATCGATTTATTGAGTCTATTTATTTATTTATTTTTCACTCATATGAAGACGCCATCATTTGCCGGCGGAAAGCTGAAAATTTTGTCCTATGCTCGGCACTTAGGGTCATTGAGAAAGGAGGGATCTTTTTCGTGCCAGCACCTACAGCGACACGGGACCTCGGTTAATACGGTCTCAGGACCGTATCAAATATCAAAGTATTGGTACGATAGACAAGGAAATTATTATTTGAAAAGATAGACAAGGAAATGATTATCGTGTCCAAAAATATCTCGGTGGGGGTGGTGGATGTACATCAACCATTTTTCAGGTGCCTGTGCACAAGACGGAAGGTTACCGAGGCGGTTATATACCCATCCGAGAAATCTGCGATAAGAGAGATGTACAATGAATGTACGTAGAGTAGAAAATGATAGAGAAAAAACTATCTGTATGTTTTTATCGTGTATATAAATGTTATATTCTTTTAAACAAACTAAATAAATGTTAAGCATATGGTGAGCAAGGGAAGCAGACTGAATATGAAAAGGGGGGGGGGGGGTAATAGGCAAGCCAAAAAGATTCTTGATTAAAAATGTGACACCCCCCCTCCCAAAAAAATAATAAAATGGAAGGGGGTAGTCTTTTTCTTATATATAAGAAATACTAGTATAATGAGATGCAGGAAAATGACCTTACTGTGACAAAACGGGAAAGGGGTTGTTACTAACCTTTCATGAAAATTTTTTTTAAATTAAAATTTTAAAAATATTTATATGAAAAAGTCAGGGAGCACCCCCCCCCCTCACCTATAGTTCGTGCCTGTAAGGCTATTTTCCTCGGATAATATACTTGTACAGAGTTGGTGATTTCATTTCTTGTCAGGATATATAAATGTTAAGTATAATGTCCGTCTCAGATAATATTTTCTCAAGAATGCGTTTATTTACTTCCATGCAGTTGCACTTTTTTCTATTATAATATCAAAAAATAAAACTTCAGTGTTCATGCACACAAGTGATTGTTCCTCCATATTTTACTGTCCACTTCATTTGTTTTTCTGCAGTATTTTTCTCTTTGACCGGCGTCTTGTCATAGTTACCAAAAGAGCGTATAAACTAAATAAGGATGAAGAAATACATATTAAAATATTTTTTTAAATAAAAGCGCCTTATGACAAAGATTTTACGCAATGCATATCTGTAGGAAGCAATTTCCATTTGGGGGCAAAACAAAGAAATGTCATTTCGGGAGGATCGAGAGGGGCGGACAAATAAAAATTCCTTGTTACGCATTAAGATTCCAGACATACGTATAGTTATCATGGGTGCTTGGGGACGGGGAAAATTGATACTGAAACGGAACGTTCTGTTTTATTATCAGAGTGTATGAATATTTATACATGTAAAAGGCTAGGTTAAGCTTAAATCTTGGATTGTTCATTTGTAATCCTTTGTGATATGTCATAGAAAAATACTTAATTCTTAAAATGTCAAAGAATCCTTGGGGTACGAAACACCCAGGGTGGGTGGTTAGGGGGACCCCCCCCCCCCCCAAAAAAAAAAAAACAAAGCACTAGTGTGAAAGCAAGATCTTCGGATTCCCACGGATGATAAATTTATATCCGATGATGCAGTAAATTCTATTGATCTGTTCATTGTTTACCAAAGTATAATTTACATTTAAAAATCCGGTGTACATGTATCCCCTGTTCAAACAGCCATGAAATGTAAAGAAAAGAATTCTATAATTTTTCACGAGTGAAAGTCTTGGTCCCATCTATGTATGATGAATAAGGAACAATACATAAATCATTTTTTGTAAACATCTCTGCGGTAATATTAAGTGATTGAGTAAAAGCGATTAAATATCAGTTGTGTACATTCGTTAGGTTCTGCGATGATACTTGGTCAGAACTTTGTATGATTTTCATTTCCACTTTCACCCTTACCGGCTTTTCCTTGATTGGCTCAAACATACAAAGCCTAGCTATTCTTAATTGAAAGAACGTAACCCTGGTATATCAACATTTATGTTCCCTAAAATTTACCATTCTTTTAGATAATCAAGAGTAGTTATATACCGGTACTATACTTATATAACTAGATTCCGTCGAGTGTCTCGAATGACGTCACAAAAACGGGAAGTAACTCTATTAATGAACGTTATTTTTAGTGATATTTAAACAGGTAAATACAGAAAACAACGAGATTTAAAATTAAACGAATATTGTAATTCCCTCTTTTTAACTTTTATTTACAACATAAATCAGTTACAAGCATATCTATTTCCTTTGAATTTGACCTTTAAAAATCTAGTCCTGTAAAAAAAAATAATAAAAAGGTTGAAATATAAGATAAACCATCACTTATACTTAGTCTAATTCTTTTCCAGAAATATTATACAGTATATTTTTACAAAAAACATGCTAAGATGGTGTGGCATGCAAATTTAGAATTTGGGTCTTTCATATCCTTCAAAACACTTAACTTAAGGATAGGAATTCAATGAATTTTAAAGCTGTGTATTTTGTCTTTTGACGACAACAGTTCTGAGGATGAAGCCAATATGAGAGTCTCTGACAAAGACATTTCTGTGTTCCCCGAGTGGTGCCTCAGGAAATCATGTCTTCATAGCTGTAGGAATGAGGTAAGTTAGTTTTACACTAGCTGTAGGAATGAGGTAGTCCTCTCAAGTTTTTTTATTTTAATACTGTAAGTCGTTTTAATTCCACAGTGTTAAAATTTCACCATTTCTAAAAAATTTCCAATCGCAATGGTTTTAATTTCACGCTGTAGGAAAATTTCTTACAATCATTTTAACATTTTTAATAGCTAATGATAGCATTAACGATGTGTTTATTTTCGCGGAAAAATAATAAATCGCCAACAAAGCGAAATTAAAACCATTGTGATTATTTCCCAGTCTACAGTATTGAGGGCTCTATTATTGCAGCTAGTTTTATACATTCATGGCATATTCTGTGGACATTTCTTAAGCTATCGTGCCATGATTTGACATATTTGTATGGAAGCATCCTCAGGTAGCATATATTATATAAATAGTGTAAGTTTTTGAGGGTAACAGTTGACACCCCAAGAAAAACCATTCTCAACTGACGTGTCAGCGGAGGCTCAAGATTATCTTGTTAAAAGTTTGTTAAAAAAATCTGTTTGTTTTGTAGATGTGTATGTTGTGTAGCCAATGTTTAACTCTGACAATGAAGAAAACACTGAAGCTGGCTTATCTAGAGCATATTAACAAAGGAAGCTGTGGCCGTATCCTTCCACAGAAAATGGTAAGCTCTCTGAATGGGAAACATACATCTGATGGATACCAGCTATGCACAAAATGCCACATATCTTAATCCCATTCATGGGATCATGGTGGGAAAAGAAAGGAATATTTTATGTTAAAGTCACTGAGCGCGGGTCTGCTCCAGCTCAATATTTTGATTTAATGTGTAGAATGATAAATCAATGAAATATTTAAATATTGTTCAGGAGCAGGCCTGAGCTCAATAATTTTTATAGTAAAAATTGAGCAAATTTTGTCCATTTTTCCTCTCTGAAAAATAATACAAAATCCGAAGAGTTTGTGATGTCATAAAAACAAAAACTGTTAATAACCTACTTTGACAGTATACTATGTTTTGTTAATTTAAATTTCTCATACAATATATACCATTCAGCACATTTCAAGAAATTTTCAAAATATGTCTTGTTGGGTCAAAAATAAGCAATATACTGCATATATATTAAATCCTTTTATTTTTCACTGGTCTGAGAAGTATTCTACATGTATCAATGTTTTTCTGTTTCTGATTGATTTTTATCCAGTTTCCTAGAGTTTTGATATGATCTGTTTTTATTCTCTTCAGACTGAGGAGTTTGCTTTAGACTGGTCCCCCTCAACTAATGACCCAGAGTACCAGAATCTGAATAGGAAGAATAAGTTGATGTACATGTGGTTTGTTGGTAAATGTAGACAGAATGCTGCTTGGTGTTAAATCACACAATCAATCATCTGGAACGAGAGAATAAACCACAAAAACAACAAAACACCACCGGAATACTGTCTACTATGAATATATTGAAATTGATCAAGGGACAATCTCTTGTTTTTGTATAAACAAGATGATACATCTTCTTAAATTAATAAAGATCATATGTTTTCTGAAGGGTTATTCGCAAATACTAGTATATTGTAATACACTATAGATTTCTTATTTATTTTTGTGAGTAATTACCGGTATCATCGGGAAATGGCTTTTAAATGTCAAATCGCGAAAAGAATAATTTGTGAATAGATGGTTGGTCAAGAGAAATAGCATGGATTTCAGCAGCATAAAAATAAAAGCGAGTAATTCTATTTCAAGAGTAATGGTTCTCACAAAATTATGCGATAATTAATTCCTCGCGCATAATTAGGAATCTACAGTAATAGAAATGTAAGATTTTATGTGTTTTATTATAATTTACATGTAGATAATTTTTTTGTTTTCGTCTCTTTTTTGAAATGGTTCTTAGCAAATCAGTTTTCTTTCAAAATAAGCATTTGTGAATATAGTAAATGGAAGTGGAAAAGGCCTTAGTAGCATTTGATGTGTAAAATTATGAATATTTTTAAATGGACGATAAAGAGTTTATTTTAAAGAATTGCAAAGTTATTATTTGGCCAGACAAAATTATTTGTCCTTGGTTATGGTTTAACCATTGATTAACTAGTGGTTCTCATGCTATATGCTGTGATATATACTCATTTTTATAAAAGTGAGATTATGTTATTTGATAGCTTTTGCTGTATTTTGCCAAAGTACTACATTATATTGTGCTGTATTTTGCTACAGCACAACATTACATTGAATGTGCTGTATTTTGCTAAAGCACTAAAATATATTATGCTGTGTTTTGCTAAGCACTTAATTATATTGTGCTGCAAGCACTATAATATATTGTGCTGTATTTAGAATATTGTACGAGATTTTTTTAATGCACTGTATGACTATGTTCTTCATTAATGAGATTTATTGTACCATATACTTATCCATGATCAGTACCAACATATTCCACAACATTTACTTGTTATAGAATATTCAATATTTTTAACACCCACTGACATATAACTCAGAATATACATCCACATACCTGTGCAGTGTTATCTGTGTGAATGAAACATGATAGTATGTAGCATGTTTATAAAAAGGCATTGTTATACCCTTATAAATAGCTTTCTATATATTTATTACTAATAAAAAGTCCAACAAAAGAAATGTTTATTACACCAGTCTAACAATTTCACTGTTGACCGGGCTGCCGGTCCAACATAAGAATTGTTAGACCGCAACGTCACTGCTACATCACAAGTAATTAATCATCTTCAATATCGGCAACACGGAAATAGCCAAAGTTAAGAACTGCAAGAGTTGTTGCTACTAGCAAGGAAGAAGGGAAGATTATGTTTTGTGATAAATAATTTTCGTTATATAATAAAAATATGATTTTGTTCTTTCTCAGCTAATGTTTTATATTTACTGATGAAGCCATAATTTTCCATAATTATAAAGTAATTAATAATATAGTGTGTATTGATTAAATCTTGAAGGGTATAACAAAACAGTTATAGACTGGGATTCGGGCAATATATGATTTGTTGAACCTGAAGTTGAAAATGTTGCCCTTTGCCTGCGGACTGGGGCAACATTTTCACCTTCAGGTCCAACAAATCATATGTTGCCCTCATACCCTATCAATAACTGTATATTGCCTAAGCACTACATGTCATAAAATTATGTCATTTTGAATTGCAACACACGTATAGTGAAACCTTGCTTAATCTGACAGGCACTGGGAGACAAATTCTGTGTCGGAATAGACAGGGTGTCGGATTGCACAAGGTAAAGTGAGAATGAAATTTAATGTCAGAATTCTCAGTGTGGCACAGGCAGATCTATTATTTTCAATACATATAATTCTTTAGTTGCATTTATTAAATTTTTTATCATTGCATGGTTCCTTCAAGACCAAAACCTATAGTACATCAAAATCTACTGATCAAACTCGTATTTTCCAAAGGGAAAAATGACCTTACAATATATTAAACCTTTTTTTTATTTTAATTTACATTGTAAAACTACTTTCTCATTCCATTTTGATAATATATACATAACATATATTTGGGGCTGCTTTCCATGCTGATTTTTAACTGTGTGTTCTCATTTATTTTTTTTTTTTACATTGTTTTGAACTAATAGGTAGAATGCCTGGAATGGACTTTAAATTTTGATATGCTTGTTTTTGTAAATACATGTACATGTATATATGTTAAATATGACACGTGAACAGTTGATCTATTTAAACATATCATAATTTAGCTTGTCTGATGCAAGATAAGCTATTAAGAAACAAAAGTATACCATCCTTAATTTTCATTCAAAATGATTTTATAAGGCTCAGTTTCCAATTCAGAGATGTCAGCTTAATTAATGTGGTTACCGGTATATATATATTGCCAATATATTGGTACATTAGAGTAATTTGAATTGTGCAATTTTATACAGTGCAATATTCAAAAATGAATATAAAATGTTTTCTGCAGAAAGGCTTTTTTTCTTTTATTTTTGGCATCAAACCAGTGATCTTACTATCCAGGACAAACTGAGTTTTAAAAAAATCTTACCTCAGATCGAGGGAAACAATACCGAGTATTTAAAATATATACCGGTATTATATGATCTTAATTAGATTTTAGGCAGTACATTAACCCCTCAACTTGACATGTTAAGTTAAATAAAAAAGAAATTAACAGTTTTTAAGTGCAATATAGTGCTTTGAAAGTTGCAGCTTTTAATTTAATTTTTTTTGAAATCTGTAAATTCCTTCCAAAATGAAATTGTATCAATGTTTACTTTGAGGCAAATATTTTTTAAAGCCTATAAATCTGACCTTAGGCTACAAATGGGTCATAATACAATCATTTGTCAATCTGACCTACAAATGGGCCATAATGCAGTCATGAGTCATTCTGACCTTCAAATACCAGTAGGTTACAATGCAGTCAAGTAAATCTGATCTACAACAGGCCACAATGCAGTCATGTTAATCTGATCTACTAATGGGCCACAATGCAGTTTGAGTTGATAGGACATGTAAATGGGCAACATTACTGTCATGACTTAATCTGGCTTACCAATGGGCCACAATGAAGTCATTTTAAAAAAAAAATTACCTACAAGTGGGCCACAATGCAGTCATCAGTCAAACTGACATACCAATGGGCCACAATGCAGTCGTAGTTAATTCTGACCTACGAATGAAACCATTAGTCAATCTGACTTACCAATGGGCCACAATGCAGTCAGGTAATTCTGACCTACAATGAAACCATTAGTCAATCTGACCTACCAATGAGCAATAATGCAGTCAGGTAATTCTGACCTACAATGAAACCATTAGTTAATCTGACCTACCAATGGGCCACAATGCAGTCAGAGGTAATTCTGACCTACCAATGAAACCATTAGTCAATCTGACTTACCAATGGGCCACAATGCAGTCAGGTAATTCTGACCTACCAATGAAACCAATAGTCAATCTGACCTACCAATGGGCCACAATGCAGTATTATACTACCACTGAATGACCTACCAATGGGTCACAATGCTGTCATACATCAAAATGACCTACCAATGGACTACAATGCAGTCATACATCAAAATAACCTATCAATGGACTACAAAGCAGTCATACATCAAAATGACCTACCGATGGACTACAATGCAGTCATACATCAAAATGACCTACCGATGGGTCACAATGCAGTCATGCATCAAAATGACCTATCAATGGGCCACAATGCGGTCATGCATCAAAATGACCTATCAATGGACTACAATACAGTCATCCATTAAAATGACCCATCAATGAACCACAATGCAGTCATGCATCAAAATGACCTATCAATGGACCACAATGCAGTCATACATCAAAATGACCTACCAATGCACCACAATGCAGTCATACATCAAAATGACCTACCAATGCACCACAATGCAGTCATACATCAAAATGACCTACCAATGCACCACAATGCAGTCATAAGTCAAAATGACCTACCAATGGACTACAATGCAGTCAAACATCAAAATGACCTACCAATGGACTACAATGCAGTCATAAATCAGAATGACCTACCAATGAACTACAATGCACAATGCAGTCATACATCAGAATGACCTACCAATGGACTACAATGCAGTCATACAACAAAATGACCTACCAATGGACTACAATGCAGTCATAAGTCAAAATGACCTATCAATGGACTACAATGCAGTCATACATCAAAATGACCTACCAATGGACTACAATGCAGTCATACATCAAAATGACCTACCAATGGACTACAATGCAGTCATAAATCAAAATGACCTACCAATGGGCCACAATAGGGTAGAAAAAGAAACAAAAAACATTTTTCATGTTCTCTTTTAATTTCCTTCTAAAATGTTACATTGACATCTTGACATATATATGTTTTCAAATAGCTCTTATAAACAGTTTGTAAAACAGAGAATCAATTTGATTTATTGCTAATACATTATTTTAAAACAAGGGACCTTTAAATTTCAAATAATTCTGGGTAGATAGAATGTTCCATCGTTAAAATGATAAATGTCCTATGGACCCGGTTTAACGATAACTGTGGTGAGGGCTTGTACCGAGACACAGTTAGATTATTCTAACTAAATTCTGGGAAGCAAGTGAGAGAATTCAACACCATTTGAAATAATTCTGTAAATCAAAAGTAAATTACCGAGGCTCAGGGATAAAAAACACAACTTCTTGGATAAAAATCATATCCAATTACTTATTTCCTATCTAGCTTGTAACACGAGCTTTGATTCGTTACAAAGTCGGGTGTAAATATCCGTGCACCCGACTTGAGCCGGGTGTAAATAAAACGTGACGTCACAATGCATACATTCTCTATGATAAATACCAAATAACGTGACGTTACGATGCATTGTAGTACGTAGTTATCTAATCGATAGATTGAGACACACTTTGATGTTTACAAAGCATTTTTATGGGTACGAAGGAAATAAATTCGTTATCCAGGTTCAATCAAGGGTGTACGGGGATTCCATACACCCTGAGGCCGAAGGCCGAAGGGTGTATGGAATACAACCCACGGTAAATCCCCGTACACCCTTGATTGAACCTGGATAACTAATAAAATCATGGGAGATTATTATTTATCAGTGGCAGTCATTTCAACAAAACAATTGCTTATTATTTCATAATTTCTACCATATACATGTATGTACTAAAAGGCATACTTAAAAAATAACAACATATATCATATAAAAACTAATAAATGTGGTAATTAATGTACATATCATATACAACTAGTACAGAAAATGGATTTATTTTCCTTTCAGATTTAATGCCTTATCATAAAAAAAACCTGTAAAGTAGACACTAACAATGCAAATTTCAAATATATTGAACAATGCAAATTGTAAATATATATTGAAAAAAAACATACACATGTATAAGATGAACACATTTTGTCCTTTGTAAAATTTCAGAGCTATATCTCTAAATAATAGTGAACATAAACTGTAGATAATATACAATCCGAAGCTAAGACATGTCTACATGTTACAACTGAAAAGTGAATTAGATTGTAAAATAATTAATAATAATGAACAGAAAAAGGTGAACAAAGCTAAGATAATATTATGGAAATAATAACAAAACAATTCATATTTCTTTTTTTCATCTTCTGAATGTACTACTACAGAAGACAGAAATAGTTCTAACTTTGAACTGCAACATCAAATCTACAGATCATTAAATCTTCATGTACATCATGTATATGAAATATATCAGAGACTGAAATTATGTATTATAGGGTTTGAGTAAATTTGATCACTTGTAATAGTGTTTACCCTATTCTTTTTCTTTTCCAATCTAACAATGTTCAAATATGAGGGCAGTTTTGTTCAAGAGTGGATTTCTTTGATCAAATTTTCTCCATTTCCACTGACTTATCAATCAGAGAACAATTTACATCTTTTAACTTCATGACATAAAAAATCCTAACATCAAAGTTTTGTGTCAATAGTGAGGTAGACAGCATTCCTTTGCCATTCCTTTCACAGGCAGTATGAGAGTTATATCTTACTGAACCCCACAGGAAGGGGACCCATAACCTAAGTCCTTGTATACACTCTATAAAGCACAACCTCAGGACACACCACATAAAATTTCTTTTTCTTTTTGATTATAAATCTGGTGCATTTCCTCCAAGTCCTTGTCAGCAGGTATTACCTGTAATGAAGGTGTAAAAATTAACAGTAAAGGTTACATTTAGCCTTCTAATATTAATAGGTCTCTAAACTTCAATTTGACCAAATCTTCTCAAACTTTTCATAAAATCTTGAATTGCAAAAATAAAAAGAATAATTTTTTCACTTGATTTTAAAGTTAAAAGTCTGGAAATTACAAACAATCAGACTGTGATATGTGTTTAAAATTACAGTGAAAACTGTCTAATCTGACACCTGAATTATCCAACACACTTTGAATATTACGACAGTAAATTTCTTTCCCATTTGACTATTTTCCATGTTTTTAACACTCTGCAATCCGACACCCTGTCTATTGTGACACAAAGTCTGTGTCCTAGTGCGCGTCTGATTAGACAGGTTTCACTGTATTTGACTTGCGTACCAAAACTCTGGCAGGGAGGGGAAATTTAGTTCCTTTGACCAACCACTCTTCGTGTAATTCATGCAATGTCTTCAGATAATCCTAAGCACATGTAAGAAAGTCAATTTATCAGTGTCAAACTCAACATCAGTTTTATGTGTACAAGTAAATTTACCAGTGTGGTATTCAACTTTAGCTTTATGTGTACAAATATGTTGTGCATTTACCAGTGTGATATTAGTTTCTTCTTTCCTGTTTCTCTCCTGGATTCTTCTAAACACTGTCTCTGGCTTAGCTTGTAAATAAACTGAAAAACATATAGCAAATGTTACACTATCTACATTCCTTGATGTTTAACTGTGTATCATGAAAAAAATTTCTTAAATCTTCAACTTTTTAAAGTTGCTCTTTCATGATTAGTATAAGGAATGTCTTACCTATCAGGTCGACTTTACATTGGTTATTTTTAATGATCCAATTAAACCACTCTGTTAACACAGTATAATCAAGGCCTGGCATCATACCACTGTAAATATAAAACCAAAGTTCAAAGTTCAATGACAGCATACTACTCTAAATAAATCAAAGGGCAAAGTTGACATCTGTTAATATAAAACCACAACGCGTTAGGTTCTAGGTTATCATGGCATCATATTTCACTGTAAATATAAAACCATCGTTCGTTTAAGAAAACTTAGTAGACACAATACCCTGTTCATAAAACATCATACTACTGTTAAATTTGAGAGTGGTGCCGAATCAGTTTAAGGTTTTGCTTGTTTCGGTATGATAAACAATGTTCAAAAATCACATAATACCATTGAAAATTGCAATAAAAAGCTAAAACCTAAGTTCAATGGCAACATACCACTGTTTAAAACAAAAGTTCATAACAGCAGAGGGAAAAAATCAATCGCATCACATCATTGAAAATTAAAAGCTCAGTGGCAAAAGGCATCATATTTATAAAAAGTAGAGGTAATGGCAACTGTTACAATATACTGAATTTTACCCTCCAACCCTAACAGTTTTTATTACATTTTCATTTTGGGGGGCTATTTTCAAAGTCGATACAAATATACTGTAAATTAAAAGGTACAGGATACCTTTACTTTATAAATCTTTATTAAAAAACTTGCTTTGTAAACAAATAGTACATTTTTATTATATGTATACTAGTATGTCTTGCATTCATTGAATTTTGAAAATAAAATTTTTTCTTCAAATATTTAAAAACTTCTTTAATCATAACCCATAGCACAAGGTATATTGTATGGTAATGATTATCATGGGTAAATCTTTTATCACTCTTACCTATTATAAAGATTCTCCACAAAGCAATACTTTGCACTGTATATAGAACGTTCCATCAATTTTACTGGCTTGTCCTATTTAAATAAACAATTTTTTTTATTGAAAATCAGAGTATATAAATATATTAATATATCAATTAAGTAAGATTTTTGATCAAGCTAACCGTTTCTTTCTGGTGTTGCTCAAGCATGGTCAGCTGTACATAGGTTTGTAATGTTAATGCCCAACGACTCGGGTCTTCATACATTTTAGCCTGCACAAATTAAAACACATACACTTTTAATAGCTGTTCATATTGCATCTAGCTGTTATTTAGACTTTAAAAATATATTATTATTGAAACAGACATGAAGCACAGTGTGTGTGACTTTTTGTGTATAAATTCTTTTCAAAATTTACTATTAAACATCAATAAAAAAACAGCTTTAATGTTAATTAAGTTTTGAATAGTTAAGGAAAGAGAAAATAATTGTTTTCACTATATCACACACCAGAGCATTATATCCATTGACATCTCTCCACTTCTTCACGGGCTCTTCACAAATCTACCAATGACATAAAACAGGGGAACATAATCACTGAACAAAGCTCTGAACCACGAAAATACAAATCTGAATGAATAAAGTACATGCAAAAATAGAAACCTTTAACTGACACTTTTCAATGAAGAGCTCTACTTCACCAAGCTAATGGAGGGGGCAATTATTTTTTTGGACGGGCCAATGTTATTTCTTTCCCTTTTTTTTTTTTAGAGAGAATACTTTGCACATCTTCTTATATAACAGCATATTCAGACATTTGAAAGAGAAAAATGAAAACATAATGAAATATTTATTAGGGTCTCCATATCATTATGCTATATAAATGAATAAACTTACCTCAACACTTTTGTTTTTCTTGAAATGTTCTAGAAATGTAGTCTTTCCACTGGCTATGTTTCCCTCCACAATGACCTGTAAATATTGATGTATAAATTAAAGTTCAATGAATTTTAATTCATTTGAATTAATTGATAATTTTATGCCCTGGTTCACAAGCATTTTTTCTGTATATTTTTTAACCTTTAGACTTATATAGTATAGTAATAACACTATCAAAGCTAGTCTTCCAACTACATGTAAATTGTTTTCCGTCTGCTATTCAAATAAGTAAAAAAAAAATTAACTTTATTGTTTTTCAAAATTTTTCTTTCAGATTTACAAGGTTTATAGAGTGACTTCTAAGAATTCTAATTTTGTTAAAATATTTTGATGCATGCATTTATTGCAAAGATATGACAAATCCAAAATTTGTCCTACTGTTGGGGGTTTGAATCCCATGGGAGGGTGTAATTTTTTTTTCTTGGTTTCTCTCTTTTTCTGTTTCAAATGACTTTTCTCTTTTATATATATAACATGTAAAAGTTTTGCTGATTTTTAACAGCTTTTTTAACAGAGATTCTCTAGAAAACATTTAATAATCAAGATCTATAGGTCACCTGAGTTTCATGTAACAACTTTCCAACAATTGAATTTGGTTTGTGTTTTAAACCTCAGAGGATCCATGAAATTCACAATTTTGCAAAGAGGCACTTCTTATCATTTATACAAACTTAGCAATGCTACACTACCTGAGGATGATTCCATATAAATATCACTATCATAGCTTTGAAGTACTTGAAAAGAAGAAAAATGTTTCCCTATATATCCCTATGTAAAACTTGGGCACCCCATCCCAGACCATAGCCACAGGGGTCATATTTCACAAATTTTATGATCATAAATGTTATTTCACAAATATTTCCTGGTTGATTAATACTAATGAGTAAATTTCAAAGCATTTTCCTATATATTACTATGTAAAACTTGGGTCCCCCATTTTGGCCCCATACCCTTGACCCCGGGGGTCATGAAATTAACCATTTTGCAATGCAACTTTCCTCATCATAAATATATATATATACTTAGATCATTGGCATAATACCCAGGAGCAAAGGAAAAGATTTTCAAAGAATTTATATATATTCCTAGCCTCCCTCTCCTTACACCAAATAGCCCCCCCTGACATAGGGGCCATGAAATTAACATATTTGGAAGAGGCACTACTTGCTCATTATAACTATGTACATTAGTTTATTTAATACTGGGATGGTTCAGAAGAATTTTTTTTAAAAAATATGCATTATTCACTGAAAATTATATAGCCCCGCCATAGCACTGGGAACACCCTGACCCTGGGGCATGAAATTCACAAATTTGGAAGACACTTGCTCATCATAATATGTACATAGTTAGTTTATTTAATATCCAGGAGCAGAGAAGAAGATTTTTAAAGATTTTTGCATATATTCACTATATAATCAATAGAGCCAGCCCTAACACCAGGACCCCTGACCCTGGGGCCATGAAATTCACAAATTTGAAAGAGGCACTCTTGATCATAACTATTTACATAGTTAGTTTATTTAATACCCCAGAGCAGAGAAGAAGATTTTCAGAATTTTTTTATTATTCACTATATAATCAACTAGAGCCCCGCCCTAACACCAGAACCCTTGACCCTGGGGCCATGAAATTCACAAATTTGAATCTAGGCACTCTTGAGGATCATAACTAAGTACTTAGTTAGTTTATTTACTGGCCCAGTGGTTCTGGAGAAGAAGATTTTTTAGAGATGCAAATCAATTTATTTTCACTATATAATCAATTGGGAGCCCCGCCATAACACCAGCCCCTGACCCTGGGGCCAAGAAATTCACAATTTTGGAACAAACTTCTTTCTGTACATAACTATGTACTTAGTTAGTTTATTTAATACCCAGTGAGCTGAGAAGAAGATTTTTAAAGAAGTAATGCATTATTCACTATATAACCTATTTAGCCCCACCCTAGCACTAGAACCCCTGACCCTGGGTCATGAATTTCACAATTTTGGTACACTACTCAATGCTTATTACATTCATGTCAACAGTTAGCCTGCTTGATGTCCAGGAGAAAGAAGAAGATTTTTAAAAATTGCCACTAATTTTTAACAAATTTTGGCCCCACCCCTCAGGAAAAGGGCGTGGGGACCTTGAAATTCAACAATTTTTGTTCCCCTTCACCCATAGATGCTGTGTGCCAAATTTGGTTGAAATTGGTTTAGTGGTTTCAGAGAAGAAGATGAAAATGTTCAAATGTTAACACACATGACACACGACACAACGACAGACGACAGACAATAGGTTTTGACTCAGGTGACCTAAAAAAATTTAATATAAATCATGATCTATGTTGATAGACTGTGGCAATTGTGAACTTAAATAATGAAATACATTCATTTCTGTACGTATAATGTATTTAATGGGATATGATACAACATTTGTTCTGGAGAAAAGTTGGAGGCTCGACCACTTGTTGCCCTAGCAATGAGAAACACATCTAGCTATATATATTATTATAACAGTAACTTGATCTGAAGGGTATCTGTATCCTGGTTGCAGCATGCAGCGGTAATTACATAATTACAGATCTAACGAGACGCGAAGTGTCGTATGACTACATTATACTTACTGTAAAACTTTCTTGTGCAACGATTACTTACGGCTCTTCAAGACAAGTTACTGTTATGATGATGAATTTATTATATACCCCCTAATAACTAGAAAAATATTACAAGAGAAAATTTTTTTAAAAAATTGTATAACATTCATCGATAAAACAAAGCAAAATAACAACACATGAACAAGGGACTTTTTAACGCGCAAGAAAAATAACGTCATGTTTTTGTGTACTACGTCATCAGTTTCAGAGAGTGGTGATATGGATTCAGAAAACCACCGTGTGGTGATCCGGAAAATCGGATCATGACGTCACGTGATTCCGTTAATTCTACAGTAAAATTGAGTGATACACATTAGGTATATAATAAATGCTATTATTATATGCTATTGGTAAAAAAAATTATTTCAGAAAAAAGTATCTGTGCCCTGGTTGCAGCATGCAGTGCGTAAGGCCATTCCAAGTTTTTTCTCTGTTTAGCGTCCACCCATCTTTCAAAAACCTAGCTACCTATTCGCAAAAAACACACAAGTCAAAAAAATAAAACACATATTTTATAGTAATAAGAATGACGTAATTCAAAAGATATGATTTCATTTATTTCTTTTTCATAAAGAAAATTATTTTCTTCAGCAAAATCAAGGTATTAAATACTGAAACTATTCCAATAATGAAATATTATACAAATATTTAGAGACATTGCTGGAAATCACAAATTTTGACCTGAATAATTAATTTTCAGACTCCTGATTCTGTTTGTTTTTTCTGTCATGCGGTGTCAAAAACCAAGACGCACGCGGATGCTAAACATAGAAAAAACTTGGAATGGCCTTATTACATAATTACAGTTGTGGGGAAAGAGAAGCTGACATGTATTGTCAGACTACATTAAACTTACTGTAAAACTTTCTTTGTGCTTCCCATTACTTCCAACAACTACAAGACAAAATATAGACTGTTCTTTGATCATATGAACAGAACAGAACAGAACATTTTATTACTAATTTAGAGCCCATAACAGACAAGTATTAGATTGTTATAATAATAAGGAAAAGATAAGCCAATGAATAGCAAAACAATTATACAATTAGTAATTGACATAAATCATTTTAACAATAATCCTGTCTAAAAGGAATACATCAAATATGCTATGAGTTAAGGCAGAGTTTAAATGGTACGTATATATACATACTTTACAAAAAGTTACATGTTAGCTTAAGTCCACCTCACAATCTAGTATAGGCATTCCTAGGCAAATGTTATATTGTTCTAAACATGTCTTTTTTGTAACTGAGCTAGTCAATTAAATGATTTTTTTAAGTCTGAAAAATGCATGCTCATGAATTTTAAAAGCCTAAATTAAGATGATGATTAATAGCTAAACATGCTAAACAAAACAACTTGTACCTAGATATAAAATATATGCAGAGCACAAAAATTAAATGCAATCAGTTAATGCTGCGACCAACTTTTTGGAAAGATAAAGCCTAAAAACTTCTTTCCATGACTGGCATGAGCATTGCATAAGTTAGCTTTAAAATTAGGCCTATATAATAACTGGTATTGCGTGTATCATGACGTGTGTACATAAAACATGCACATCGACCAGTGCCCGTGCTCCTTACTTACCATGATGACCATTACTCACAGATGTGTGCATTTTATTGTTTCTGAGATTCACAAAGACACTGCGACTAAACAATCTCAGACACCACAAAGGCATGGCTTGTTGTTTGTGTTTCTTGCTGACGATTCACCGCGAAATCTACGTCATTGGATAAAAATACCAACCAACCAAAACGAGGATACCGAGCTGACTTGCCGTTCGTATATCTTCGGAGGTTTTCTACTACTTTCGGTTTTAAATGTCACAAACGAGGATGATATTTCGTCTGATCTCTCAGCTACCTTTGCAGCAGGTGGGACAGTCAGTAAGGATGATGAGTTCTTCTTCTTCGACAAAGCAACTGGCAGGAAAAGTAGCCATAATTACGGCCTCCACAGATGGGTAAATATAAAACAGCAAAAAATTTAATCATAGGCCTACTATTCCTCATTTAAACACAGATTTCAAAGAAGCTGAAATTTATATTTTATCATAGACTCACACTTACCATTTCATACATTTTTGACCTTGACCTAGCTTCCCTGTGACCATTTACTCATTTTACCTTTATTTAGAAATCCGCTTTTAGCAATTTTCATTTTCTTGATGCTCCCTATGTCCCAAATGAGCAAGTAATTCAAGTTATTCATTATTCAATCTACATTGAGGGTAATTTCTGCATATTAGGCTGCTGAATCTCTTTCAGAATTTAATTGGACACTCCATAGCTGAGAGACTTGCATGAGAAGAAGAGCTATACAGTACATGGTATAATTTTGTATGTTTGCTGAATATATTTCAGAATTGGGTACTCCATAGCAGAGAGACTTGGACAAGATGGAGCTAAAGTGATGATCAGCAGCAGAAAACAGAAGAACGTAGACAGCAGCCTTCAGAAACTGAAATCCCTCGGGATCGAGGCCTCAGGATTGGTGTGTCATGTAGCAAAGCGAGAGGACAGAGCAAAAATGATACAGAAGGTGAGGTGCCCTGTCTGTAGGGGTATTCTCTATCTGATCACCTTAAGGTCCTGTAGAATTAATCTTAAAGATCTCATGCTGCTCCCTTTTAATAAGTGGGATAGAAGCTCACTGTGAAAAAAAAAAGACAAAGAAGTAAGAAAGGCATTTTAAAATAAGTACTGAAGAAGTACTTTTTTCTGTGGGTATTTACACTATGTACATGATCACAACTTTTCCAGGAAATTTTTTGCCAGCATACCTGAAGTATATAAGGCAAATAGAGGAACCTAAGAAATCCATGTAATTTTCTAACCCACTGTGATGAAACAGAAATCCTGATTCTGCAGAATTTTTACCCCATGGAAAGAAGTACTTTTACAGTATTTTATCAATTCATATGAAGTATTTGAATAAAATTATTTCAGACATTGGATGATTTTGGAGGTATTGACATATTTGTTTCCAATGCTGCTGCAAATCCACATTTTGGTCCACTACTGTCAGTAAGTAGATAAATGTTTAACAAGTTTAAAGTCAATCTGATTGAAGCCCGATTTTTGATTTGCTCAAAATTCTTATAGCTGCAATAGAATTTCAGAGTAAAAAAAATATGATGAATCAATTTTGACTAGATTAATTGATTTACAGCGAATAGAGATTTGAAGGAAAGCGATGAAAATAAAATGTGATTCAGTATAATAGCTTTCCCAACTGATGTAGGAAGAATCAAAATTCTGTTTAAATAAATGCTTTCTTATTTCCTGTCATAATTTTTCAGTGCTCTGAAGAAGCCTGGGATAAGGTAAATATTAATGAGCAACCTTATTATTTGTAAGGAAAAAAGAACCATCATTAATACAAAATACATGACATCATTAAAAATATTTATTCCATGGTGAGAACACCATCATTAAACACACAGCTAAATTGATGTATTTTTTCTGTCACCTAGCTTTCTTCAATTCTTATTTCAGATTTTTGAAACTAATGTAAAGGCTACGTTTCTGTTATGTAAGGAAATAATACCTCATATGGAAAAGCGTGGGTAAGCATAGTTAACTTTATACAGTAGTTTTAAGAGTGAAGGAACCTTTAAGTTATTTAATGAGAGAATTTGAAATTTTATTCATATTAGATGTAAATTATTGTTGTGAATTGCAGAGGGGGATCCATTGTGATTGTTAGTTCTATAGGAGGATATCAACCATCACCCGTAAGTTGTGTGTTTTAAATTCCAGTTGTTGTGTTTAGAAATCTCAAATACAAGTAAAAATACTAAGCATGCATCAGCACACTAAAGTAACTGATTGTCCTCTGATGTTATCAGGGGATGAAATGGTTTCATAGTCTCAAAACACACCTGTGTACATTCTAGATATTATTTTAGACTTATTTTAAGAGGCTTTCCTTAAGGTTATTGGTGCTTATTCAGTCAGCAAGACAGCCTTACTTGGACTGACAAAGGCATTGGTTCATGAGTGTTCAACGAGGAATATTAGGGTCAATGGAATCGCCCCTGGTGTTATCAAAACCAGATTCAGTGAACAGGTAAATACTGCTCTTTTTCCCGTCAATACACGTGGTTACTTTATCAATTGGTATACTTTATATACTGGTATCTCAGTTGTACTTCATCTCTATTCATTTGCTTTCCTGAGACATAGCATAGAAAAGTATAACAGCTAAAGATTATGACCCCGGTACTGGGCTGCATGAGAATTTTGAATTATTTGGAATCGATCAGAAGAAGAAGAATTTTACGAGCTGTTAAAATTACAATCAGGGTTGTCCCTTAGAATTAAAATAGCAGAAATCAAAAAGATGAAGGTTGTCTGGAGTCCCCCCTAATGAGAGTTGAAGGGGAGAACCATAATAACCAGGGGATTATGACATCACAGGCAGGGAACTCTCTATCCCACGGGTCTTGGGGACAACCTTGATTATACACTTCAAACTTTTGCGGCAGATAAACAGTCCTAGACATCAAACTTAAAATTTGTTAAAGGATTTGGTAAAAGGATAAAAAAAAGACAAATTGCACCCTAAAAAGCAAAATGAAAAAGTCTGTTTTGCATGTTTCTAGTTCAGGTTACCCTCTCATCATGTCCTTTAGACACTGTAGGATTAATCTCTAGTCAACAAAGCATACAGTGTGTTTGATTCAGAGTAATTAATTTGCATTTTGTAATTAGAAATGATGCTAAGTAAATGGATTATTTTAACAGTTGTGGAAGGATGAGGAAAGCCCTGTCAGTCAAATGGCCAAAAATATGACACCAATGAAAAGGTAAGACTTATCTTTCCAAGTTCTTTTATCTCATGTAAGGGACAAGACACAGCGTCATTGCTGGTTTGTGTACAATTTTGTAATGGATTGAACTTAGGAAAATTATGAATATTCAGTGAAAGCTAGGGTGAGTGTCAAAGAAGTGTGAATAAACAAAATTTTAATTTCATTACTAACGGTAATCTATAATTCCTGGTGAAAAGAGTAGCTGAAAGTTTACTTGATTTAGGTATAATCATGTTTTATTCTGTTATTAGTCATGAAACTTCATATATCCTTCATTAAAATTAGATTTGGAGAGCCAAAAGAGTGTGCTGGGACGGTGTCTTTTCTGGTATCAGATGATGCTTCCTACATTACCGGAGAAACCATTCTAGTAACGGGGGGTGTGGATGCTAGGCTCTAGTGGGTGTATCTACCACATCATGTGACCAATCAGAGAGAGAGGCTATGATTTTGGGTGTGGATGCTGGACTGTAGTGGGCGTGTCTACCACATCATGTGACCAATCAGAGAGAGAGAGAGGCTATGTGTATGCCTTTATAAGACATTTTATGCTATAATCTGTGATATCAATGCATTATTTGTAATCATCTCATACTGAGTGGATGTATTATTATACAAATATGGACTCAATGTAGGTCAATATGTATTTATAATGACCCAGGATGACAGATATTGACCTCAGATACATGGTGTATATCGACCGAGGGCGCTAGCCCGAGGTCGATATACTCCATGTATCTGAGGTCAATATCTGTCAGCCTGGGTCATTATAAATGCATATTGACCGTGCATTGAGTCCATATTTATTATATTATATAAATAATATTTTCCCAAATTTATTGATACAATGTATATCTTCCTAATGTTTACAGAGATAGTATTAACCATAAATGAGTTGAATGTAAATGTTTCAGAATTTATTGAATCTTACTCAGAGGAACTTGTTTCGGGAATAAATATTAACCCGCCATAGCATGATAATAACGCAAAATAGGCCTATCTATCTCCGAATAACACAGAGTACCCCCTCCCCCAGATTGTGAATCGAACTCGTTTACACTTGCAGAGGAAATTATATGCACTGACAAAATATAAATACGTATTTCTTCTACGATAAGATACAATACATGGCACGCTAGTCTTTATTTTCTTTAGTCTCCGTAATCGCGGAAACAGCGTCAAAACTCTGCTCGCCGAGTGGAAAAGTCGATATCAACCATGAAATGGTGTGTGCTAAGTATTCCCGAAAAATGTTCACAGATATCCTTGTAATTGTTTTGTATTCTCAGTCTCAGAGTTCTTCACTATATATTTTAAATTTTCCTCACCTACAACTTGCAAACTTGCGAACTTCCATGTTTGTCTAAAGCGAAAGTGAAAACGAGGCAGCTCGTGCGAGTCATTATTCGCTTTCAGCGGTCGTTATTAAAAAATAATTACTTCATATTGACCAATCAGATTACTGGATTTCACAAAGTTATATAATATGTGCATCTAATAAACATAGGATGAAAAATGCTATATATCTGTTGTATTTTTCTATAATTGTCACTTGAGGGAACCTTTATTCCACAGGGATGTGAGATAAAAGCTTACTTACGGGACATTATCGATAGCAGAGTTTGAGTGGGAAAACTTGACTTAAAACTTTCTAGACTTATTTTTTCATTTCACTTACAAAGCATATATCAATATAAATCATATTAATACAAATATTAATACACTGTGTTTGTAAAGGCAGGGACATGAGATACAACATGTCCTAGTGAAAGGTTTTTAGTATGCCTCACCTAGAGACAAGTCTTAATAGTAATAGATATTTAGTATGTCACACCTAGAGACAAGGATTAATAGTGATTTAGTACGCCTCACCTAGAGACAAGCATTTAATAATAGTGAAAGAGATTCAGTATGCCTCACCTATAGTGACAAGCATAAATAATGAAAGAGATTTAGTATGCCTCACCTAGAGACAAGTGTTAATGTGCTTTTTATATTTTTAAGGTATGTATTTTAAATTGTACACATTATTCTCATTCTTTATTTTTATTCATTCAGTCATTCACTCATTCATTCAGCACTGCGCAATGCGATTTACTAACACTCTATGTTGTCTTGTTCAGTGTCTGTTTATAAACCTAAACACCCCTATTTAGTTAATGTTGTATTCCAGGTAGACTACCAGGTAATGTTGTGAATGGGTTATTCCATTATGTAGTGGGACATTGATTTCTATTGGTCAGTGTGGTTGATTGGTTCTAAGGTAGAATTGGCGGGAATTACTAGAATGATTTCCTTTATTATGAGAACTGGTTTCTGAAGGGTGTACCTGTGTATAGTGAAATTACCTATGTTTAAGTGTTGGAGACACCACCCTTATTCCTGTGAGTAATTTAATAAATAATTAAACTACTAAATAAGTATCTAAATAATTTCTTAATGAATGAGAAATCTAAATAATTCATTTTAATTCGATCATTTTAATCTAAACTTGCTAAATAAAGTGTGAGTGTGTGTAAGGAATGTATATAAAGATTGGTAAAGATCTATAAAAAGCAAGTTAACTATTTTAATCTATTCTTGCATCCTAAATAAAGGATTTGAGAGTTTGTTATAATTTTACGTATTGTTAATTAGGTCAGATATATTTGAAGTGAGGTTTAGCTAGGAGTTAGGAATTCACCTTATTCCATAAATGGGTATGTGTTTGTGTATTGATCAGATTGATTAATGTAAATATTGTTTATAAGTTATTTCTATGAATTAGAAGTAAAGTTTAATGGTTTAAAAAGATAACTAAACTGAGTGAAGTGTGACCTAATAATTTTAAACGGTATAAATGTAAGTGAACTATAAATGATTGTGTTAAAGTTGTGATTATCTGTATGTATTGTCTTTGTATTGCTTTGTGTGTGTATGTGCTTACATGTTACTGTTATTGTAGGGTTGAATCTTATCTGATCTTATCTGATTTGAACCTATACCAAAATAAATTGGATCCACACCCGAGAGAACCATCTTGTTGTTTTATCAAACCAAGAACCGGTTACAAAAAATGGCGCCCAACGTGGGGCTACGAGGTTGAATGTTTGAGGAAAGATGATGTAAAGGACTCAACTCTACTACAGAGTATAAGACGCTCACTGAGAGGAAGTGCAGCTCGAGTTCTGATGAGGCTGGGAACAGATGCACACATTGTAGATATCCTACACAGATTTGATAGTGTATACGGTACTGTGGATGATGATGAAAATCTACTTTCCCAGTTTTATAGTGCAACACAAAAGGAAAATGAGGATGTTTCTGAATGGAGTTGTCGTCTGGAAGATCTATTGAACAAAGTGATACAGAATGGAGAAATTTCACCAACAAAAACAGATCAGATGTTAAGAAACATGTTTTGGAATGGGCTCACAGAAAACTTGAAAGACATTACAGGGCATATTTTTAAACAATGTACAGATTTTAACGAGCTTAGAAAGGCGATAAGGAAAGTCGAACAGGATAAGTTGAGAAGAAAAGAGGGAAAGAAAGCTACAATACAACAAACAACTGCAAGTAACACACAAATGGATGAGCTGAAAGCCATGATTCAGAAGATGGACACAAAGATGAACCAAATGAAGGATGATATAAATGACGTTAGAAGTAAGTATCAGATGCAGCCTTCTGTGACAAGGCAATATGGTCAAGGATATGTATCTAGAGGAGGAGGTCAGTATTCAGGCTTTCCATCTAGAGGAAGAGGTCAGTATTCAGGCTTTGCATCTAGAGGAAGAGGTCAGTATTCAGGATTTGTGTCAAGAGGAAGAGGATATTACGAAGAAAGAAACATTGACAGATACGGAGTCAATAGTAATGATTCAGAGTCTGAACAAGTACCTGTAGACCCACAGAATAGAAACAAGGATGAAGGAGATATAGTGTGCTACAGATGTGGTCAGTTAGGACATTTAAGTTATGGATGTAGAGTCAAACTGGACCACCGACGTTTAAACTATACCAGGCCTGCTTCGAGACGCTGACGGTAGGCCAGAGTAATAAAGAGCGTCACAAAAGAGGAATTATTGGAGATCCGACAGAAGTTGAGCTGACTGTAAATGGTATTAAAACACATGCTTTGTTGGACACTGGATCAACAGTTTCAACAATTTGCCAGTCCTTTTATGATGAATTTTTACAAGATGTCAATATTCAGAGTATCCAAGAAACATATCAACTCCAGTGTGCAGATGGAAGTCATTTACCATACAAAGGAGTCGTAGATTTACAGATATCATCACCAGGATTGGAAAATAATACAGAGCATTCTGGATGTTTTCTTCTCGTAGATGATACCAACTACCATAGGAATGTTCCAGTACTCTTAGGGACCAATATTCTTAACATGATAATGGATGGTTGTAAGGAGACTCATGGTGAGCAGTTCCTACAGAAGACAGATCTTCACACTACTTGGTACTCAACATTTAGATGTTTGACAGTCCGAGAGAAAGAGTTACTCAAAAATGGCTACAGGATAGGAGTCATCAAATCTGCTGAGAGGGAGCCAGTAACTATCCCACCAAACTGTGAAGTGACCATTGAGGGATTTGCTGATAAGATAGTTCCCTACCATCAGACAGTTGCTCTTATACAGGCCACTCAGAGATCAGCCATACCAAAGGACTTGGATATAATTCCAAAGATTATAGACTTTGATTATCAGACCCGAGAACCAGTGACAGTAGCAGTCAGCAATGTGACAACAAGAACAGTCAGGATTCAGCCGAATTCCATTTTAGCTGAAATTCAGCCAGTAACTATTCAAGAATTATCAGAGCAATCAACACCAGAGAGTACATTAGAGAAAGAAGCATTCAATCTTGCTGAGGATAATTTAAGCAGAGACCAATACTTACAAGCTCAAGAAATGATCAACAGAAACAAGGACATGTTCTCGAAGGGAGATACAGATATTGGGCACGTTACGACAGTGAAACACAAAATAGAATTAACAGATGAAATGCCATTCAAGCAAAGACACAGACGTATTCCACCAAACATGTATAAAGAAGTTAGAGACCATCTACAGCAACTTATGGAAGCAGGAGTGATACGACGATCCAAATCACCCTTCTCCAGCAACGTTGTACTAGTTAGAAAGAAGAACGGAGAGTTGAGGATGTGCGTAGACTATAGACAGCTTAACAACAAAACAAAGAAAGATGCATACGCCCTTCCCCGAATAGAAGATATTTTAGACAGCTTATTGGGAAATTCTTACTTTACTGTATTGGACGCTAAATCGGGTTACCACCAAATAGAAATCGAGGAAAGTCAAAAAGAGAGAACAGCATTTACGGTAGGCCCACTAGGTTTTTATGAATACAACCGAATGCCATTTGGATTATCGAACAGCCCGGCAACATACCAACGCCTAATGGAAGACTGCCTCGGTGATTTGCATCTGAACATCTGTTTTATATTTCTAGACGACATCATCATTTTCTCTAGGACATTCGAAGAACATCTGAATCGACTACAACAAGTTTTTGACAAGCTGAGAGATGCAGGGCTGAAATTATCACAGAAAAAATGTACATTCTTCCAGAAACGAGTAAAG